GCATGAGCAAGAGCAAGAGCAAGAGCAAGAGCAAGAGCAAGAGCAAGAGCAAGAGCATGAGCAAGAGCATGAGCAAGAGCAAGAGCAAGAGCAAGAGCAAGAGCAAGAGCATGAGCAAGAGCAAGAGCAAGAGCAAGAGCAAGAGCATGAGCAAGAGCAAGAGCAAGAGCAAGAGCAAGAGCATGAGCAAGAGCAAGAGCAAGAGCAAGAGCAAGAGCATGAGCAAGAGCATGAGCAAGAGCAAGAGCAAGAGCAAGAGCAAGAGCAAGAGCATGAGCAAGAGCAAGAGCAAGAGCAAGAGCAAGAGCATGAGCAAGAGCAAGAGCAAGAGCAAGAGCAAGAGCATGAGCAAGAGCAAGAGCAAGAGCAAGAGCATGAGCAAGAGCAAGAGCAAGAGCAAGAGCAAGAGCAAGAGCATGAGCAAGAGCATGAGCAAGAGCAAGAGCAAGAGCAAGAGCAAGAGCAAGAGCAAGAGCATGAGCAAGAGCAAGAGCAAGAGCAAGAGCAAGAGCATGAGCAAGAGCAAGAGCAAGAGCAAGAGCAAGAGCAAGAGCAAGAGCAAGAGCATGAGCAAGAGCAAGAGCAAGAGCAAGAGCATGAGCAAGAGCAAGAGCAAGAGCATGAGCAAGAGCAAGAGCAAGAGCAAGAGCAAGAGCAAGAGCATGAGCAAGAGCAAGAGCAAGAGCAAGAGCAAGAGCAAGAGCAAGAGCAAGAGCAAGAGCAAGAGCAAGAGCATGAGCAAGAGCATGAGCAAGAGCAAGAGCAAGAGCAAGAGCAAGAGCAAGAGCATGAGCAAGAGCAAGAGCAAGAGCAAGAGCAAGAGCATGAGCAAGAGCAAGAGCAAGAGCAAGAGCAAGAGCATGAGCAAGAGCAAGAGCAAGAGCAAGAGCAAGAGCAAGAGCATGAGCAAGAGCATGAGCAAGAGCAAGAGCAAGAGCAAGAGCAAGAGCATGAGCAAGAGCAAGAGCAAGAGCAAGAGCAAGAGCAAGAGCAAGAGCAAGAGCAAGAGCATGAGCAAGAGCAAGAGCAAGAGCAAGAGCAAGAGCAAGAGCATGAGCAAGAGCAAGAGCAAGAGCAAGAGCAAGAGCATGAGCAAGAGCAAGAGCAAGAGCATGAGCAAGAGCAAGAGCAAGAGCATGAGCAAGAGCAAGAGCAAGAGCAAGAGCAAGAGCATGAGCAAGAGCAAGAGCAAGAGCAAGAGCAAGAGCATGAGCAAGAGCAAGAGCAAGAGCAAGAGCAAGAGCAAGAGCAAGAGCAAGAGCAAGAGCAAGAGCAAGAGCAAGAGCAAGAGCATGAGCAAGAGCAAGAGCAAGAGCATGAGCAAGAGCAAGAGCAAGAGCATGAGCAAGAGCAAGAGCAAGAGCATGAGCAAGAGCAAGAGCAAGAGCAAGAGCAAGAGCATGAGCAAGAGCAAGAGCAAGAGCAAGAGCAAGAGCATGAGCAAGAGCAAGAGCAAGAGCAAGAGCAAGAGCATGAGCAAGAGCATGAGCAAGAGCAAGAGCAAGAGCAAGAGCAAGAGCATGAGCAAGAGCAAGAGCAAGAGCAAGAGCAAGAGCATGAGCAAGAGCAAGAGCAAGAGCAAGAGCAAGAGCATGAGCAAGAGCAAGAGCAAGAGCAAGAGCAAGAGCATGAGCAAGAGCATGAGCAAGAGCAAGAGCAAGAGCAAGAGCAAGAGCAAGAGCAAGAGCATGAGCAAGAGCAAGAGCAAGAGCAAGAGCAAGAGCATGAGCAAGAGCAAGAGCAAGAGCAAGAGCAAGAGCATGAGCAAGAGCAAGAGCAAGAGCAAGAGCATGAGCAAGAGCAAGAGCAAGAGCAAGAGCAAGAGCAAGAGCATGAGCAAGAGCATGAGCAAGAGCAAGAGCAAGAGCAAGAGCAAGAGCAAGAGCAAGAGCATGAGCAAGAGCAAGAGCAAGAGCAAGAGCAAGAGCAAGAGCAAGAGCATGAGCAAGAGCAAGAGCAAGAGCAAGAGCAAGAGCAAGAGCAAGAGCAAGAGCATGAGCAAGAGCAAGAGCAAGAGCAAGAGCATGAGCAAGAGCAAGAGCAAGAGCATGAGCAAGAGCAAGAGCAAGAGCAAGAGCAAGAGCAAGAGCATGAGCAAGAGCAAGAGCAAGAGCAAGAGCAAGAGCAAGAGCAAGAGCAAGAGCAAGAGCAAGAGCATGAGCAAGAGCATGAGCAAGAGCAAGAGCAAGAGCAAGAGCAAGAGCAAGAGCAAGAGCATGAGCAAGAGCAAGAGCAAGAGCAAGAGCAAGAGCATGAGCAAGAGCAAGAGCAAGAGCAAGAGCAAGAGCATGAGCAAGAGCAAGAGCAAGAGCAAGAGCAAGAGCAAGAGCATGAGCAAGAGCATGAGCAAGAGCAAGAGCAAGAGCAAGAGCAAGAGCAAGAGCATGAGCAAGAGCAAGAGCAAGAGCAAGAGCAAGAGCAAGAGCATGAGCAAGAGCAAGAGCAAGAGCAAGAGCATGAGCAAGAGCAAGAGCAAGAGCATGAGCAAGAGCAAGAGCAAGAGCAAGAGCAAGAGCAAGAGCAAGAGCATGAGCAAGAGCATGAGCAAGAGCAAGAGCAAGAGCAAGAGCATGAGCAAGAGCAAGAGCAAGAGCAAGAGCAAGAGCATGAGCAAGAGCAAGAGCAAGAGCAAGAGCAAGAGCAAGAGCAAGAGCAAGAGCATGAGCAAGAGCATGAGCAAGAGCAAGAGCAAGAGCAAGAGCAAGAGCAAGAGCATGAGCAAGAGCAAGAGCAAGAGCAAGAGCAAGAGCATGAGCAAGAGCAAGAGCAAGAGCATGAGCAAGAGCAAGAGCATGAGCAAGAGCAAGAGCAAGAGCAAGAGCATGAGCAAGAGCAAGAGCAAGAGCAAGAGCATGAGCAAGAGCAAGAGCAAGAGCAAGAGCATGAGCAAGAGCAAGAGCAAGAGCAAGAGCAAGAGCATGAGCAAGAGCAAGAGCAAGAGCAAGAGCAAGAGCATGAGCAAGAGCAAGAGCAAGAGCATGAGCAAGAGCAAGAGCAAGAGCAAGAGCAAGAGCATGAGCAAGAGCATGAGCAAGAGCAAGAGCAAGAGCAAGAGCAAGAGCAAGAGCAAGAGCAAGAGCAAGAGCATGAGCAAGAGCAAGAGCAAGAGCAAGAGCAAGAGCAAGAGCAAGAGCAAGAGCATGAGCAAGAGCAAGAGCAAGAGCAAGAGCAAGAGCAAGAGCATGAGCAAGAGCATGAGCAAGAGCAAGAGCAAGAGCAAGAGCAAGAGCATGAGCAAGAGCAAGAGCAAGAGCAAGAGCAAGAGCATGAGCAAGAGCAAGAGCAAGAGCAAGAGCAAGAGCAAGAGCAAGAGCAAGAGCAAGAGCAAGAGCAAGAGCATGAGCAAGAGCATGAGCAAGAGCAAGAGCAAGAGCAAGAGCAAGAGCATGAGCAAGAGCAAGAGCAAGAGCAAGAGCAAGAGCATGAGCAAGAGCAAGAGCAAGAGCATGAGCAAGAGCAAGAGCATGAGCAAGAGCAAGAGCAAGAGCAAGAGCATGAGCAAGAGCAAGAGCAAGAGCAAGAGCATGAGCAAGAGCAAGAGCAAGAGCAAGAGCATGAGCAAGAGCAAGAGCAAGAGCAAGAGCAAGAGCATGAGCAAGAGCAAGAGCAAGAGCAAGAGCAAGAGCATGAGCAAGAGCAAGAGCAAGAGCATGAGCAAGAGCAAGAGCAAGAGCAAGAGCAAGAGCATGAGCAAGAGCATGAGCAAGAGCAAGAGCAAGAGCAAGAGCAAGAGCAAGAGCAAGAGCAAGAGCATGAGCAAGAGCAAGAGCAAGAGCAAGAGCAAGAGCAAGAGCAAGAGCAAGAGCATGAGCAAGAGCAAGAGCATGAGCAAGAGCAAGAGCAAGAGCAAGAGCATGAGCAAGAGCAAGAGCAAGAGCAAGAGCATGAGCAAGAGCAAGAGCAAGAGCAAGAGCATGAGCAAGAGCAAGAGCAAGAGCAAGAGCATGAGCAAGAGCAAGAGCAAGAGCAAGAGCAAGAGCAAGAGCAAGAGCATGAGCAAGAGCAAGAGCAAGAGCATGAGCAAGAGCAAGAGCAAGAGCATGAGCAAGAGCAAGAGCAAGAGCAAGAGCATGAGCAAGAGCAAGAGCAAGAGCAAGAGCATGAGCAAGAGCAAGAGCAAGAGCAAGAGCAAGAGCAAGAGCAAGAGCAGGGGTCGCTTGACTTGCCAGCCACGAACACAGTATGGCGTGCAGCAGATGTGCCGAGGCGTGGCGGCATGGCAGGGTGCGTGGCAAGCAAGCAGTGATCCATGATTGACTGACACATTGTTTGGGTGAGTGCGTGCGTGCGTGCGTGAGAGAGGGCACGCACCACGAGGCCGACAGCCGTGGAGGAGAGGTCGAACCAGTCCGTGCCTGACAGCACCGGGTCCTGCCTCCCTCCGCCCCTCCCCATGCCACACAGCCCAGGCAGGGCACATGGTAAAGGAGGTGAGGGGGGCGGACGGTGGAGGGCGAGGGGCATGGGGGAAGAGGGAGGGGCACGAGGCCAGGAGAACAGTTGAGAATGAGCAGGCAGGAAACAGGAGGATGAGGTTGTGCGTCTCCCACCACTGTGTCGTGTGTCTCTCCTCTCACTGCCTGCCTGCAACACTGCCTGTGCTGCACTGCACCCCCCACATGCTACCACACACACACACACGCACACCTTGAGCGAGAGCAGCGCGCTGGAGGTGGCGCCGATGTCGTAGCCGAAGAGCACCCCGCCCAGCGCCGGGAAGAGGAAGCTGCTCACAGGGGGGAGAGAAGGGGAGGGAGGGCGAAAGGGAGGGAGGGAGGGAGGGAGGGAGGGAGGGAGGGAGGGAGGGAGGGAGGGAGGGAGGGAGGGAGGGAGGGAGGGAGGGAGGGAGGGAGGGAGGGAGGGAGGGAGGGAGGGAGGGAGGAAGACGGTGGCACGGTGTTGATTGATGGACAGGTGGAAAGGGGAGCACGGCGGAGAGCAGGAGTGGAGGAATAGACAGGACATGTATGGCTGCAGGGGTTACAGGCCACTCACGGCAGAGCGGCAGCAGTCCAGACAGCAGCGCTGGTGGGCGGGATGCTCTCAGCGGTGGTGGGCGGAGTGCTCTCTGCTGCTGCAGGCGGCCGGCTGCTCCCCCCATTGACAGCAAGCAGGGGTGACGTCAGCTGGGATGGCACCGCCATGGCGGAAAACGCGTCTTCTATGCCCTGCGGGGCATGCGGTCGCATGGAGAAAGGACAGTTGGACATGGCGTGCGCGGCGCGGACATGTGCGGTGTGGGAGAGTATGGAATCTGCACAACGTGGTGACGACGAGCGCGGTATGAGACTGCGCGGTCAATGGCGCCGACGGAGGCAGCGCGCGGGGGGGAAGGAAAGCGTGGAAAGTAACTGCGCAATCCGACGGCAATCCGACGGCACAGGGCGCGCGAGAACAAAGGGCGCCGCGTGGCGCAAGCGCGTACTATTCAGCGCGCGGCCTACGCACTCTGTTGGAGCGGCCGTCCTCGATGCCGGGCGCTCTGAATTCCGCTGCCGACGCGCGCGGCATTACTCGCTGGCGGTGAGACGCGCGGCGGGAGTGACAGCTTAAATGCGACGCGACGAACGGACGCGGACGAAATGACACGTCAGACGATCGCAGTGGGCTACTGAGAGGGCGCGAGGAGAAGACGGCAGAGATAACGGGCTGTGTGCTGTAGGCGGTGGCCATGGCCGTGCGGCAAGTGGAGCTTACGGTTACGAGCGAGGCTCGCACCGCATTCCACGCGACTTGGCTGTCTACCACGTGAACAAGTGGCGCGCTGACGCTGCCTTGGGTTGGGTGGAATGGGAGGAACACAGCATCGCCAACCAATGTAGCTACACCAAATCATGGACTGTGTTTGTGATGTCCTCGTTAGTGTGGGCCCCGGTTGTCCCCAAAATATTCAAAAGAAGGCTGAAACATTGTTTGCAGGGCGTGCAAACAAAATCTTGCAGGGGATGCACTTGAGTCGGGAAGCGAGGTTTTGTAATCTCTAGGTTCATTTCTTGGCGGGAACGCCTCTAACTGGTTCGAGGCCATTCTGACCATCTTCTCGCATCACCCACTCTGGTCTGCTCCGCCACTCAGCACTCGAATTCGTCATTTCTGAAGCTTCTAGGCTCCTAGTCCCAGGCTCGATCAACGCTCGTGCTTTTTCCCGCGGTTATGGCGACAGGACGGCGCGTGTAACGTACCGCTTTGCCGTTGTTAGCCCGCCGTAGAAAAAGTTTCCGGCTGTAGCGCGACGAGCGGAGCAGAGCGGGGCGCGAGGGCGCGCGGATGGCGTCGGGGGAGGGCGACGAGGTGGCGGGCGGGCGCGCGTGCTACTTCCACCGCGACCTCAAGCGCGGCAGCTACGGCGGTGACGTCAGCTGCTTGCAGGAGTACCTGCGCGCCGAGGTGCGCCCTGTCGCCCGTACAGCCCGTAGAGACGATGCAGACCATAGGGCATCCTGATGCACCGAGGTGCGCATGCGGGCACGGAGGTGCGCGCGTAGAACAGCGTTTGGTCGTCGCGGCGAATCGGTTTTGTGCATGCGCTGATGCACCGCGTCGCGTCCTACTCGTATCTAACTCGCTTTTTTTCAGAGCCTGTACCAGGCCGTGACGCTAAGAGCCTATCGTCGCGTCCCACGTGGCAGGGATTCCTCTACGAGGAGCCGTCGGGGTACTTCGGCACGGCAACAGAGGAGGCCGTCATCAAGTGGCAGGTATGACGTCATCAAGTGGCAGGTATGACGTCCGTAAACGGCAACTATGAGGTCATCAAACGGTGCGCAGCAGTCCGTTCATCGCCAGGTCCGCACATACTGCTGGCTGTCTAGTCTCCTCCCACCCAGCGATACCATCCTTCCCCCTTCTCCTGCATTAGCTCTTGCCCCTCGTCTCCGCCTCTGTCCTTTCCCCCCGACAGACGAGCAACGCGCTGGTGCCGGCGCGGGGCATCGTGGGGTACTCGTCGCGCGTGGCGTACGCGCGGAAGCACGGGCTGCCCACCACGGAGCAGCTGCGCGCCATGGAGAAGGCCGCCGAGGTGCGCCCGCCCGCCACACACGCGCTGCTGTGCCATTTCGTGCCGTGCCGTGTGATGGCGTGCTGTTCCATGCCATGTTGCCCCATGCCAAGCCGTGCGTTTGTGATCCATGATGCATATCTGTCCTCTTTCCATTTGATGCAAATCATTTTGCTCTCCACTTTGCCAATTCTCACTGTAGCTCCCTACCCTCCGCGTCTTCATGCTTCTGGCAACCTGTGTCTGCTATCCCCCTCGTGTCCGGCTTGTGCCGCCCGCCCATTGCCCGTTGCCCGTTGCCCTGCGGGTGGAGCAGGGGTGTGAGGTGCGGCGGTGCATAGAGATCGACGCCCACAAGCGGAACGGCATGGAGCTCTGGGAGCGATGCCTAGCGTGCGTCCCTCACTCACGTCCCCTCCCCTTGCTCTCTCGTCCCCCCTCGCGCCCCTCTCGCTTTGCCCCTCTCGCTGCTCCGCATGTCCATCTGCGCCTTTGCTGCCCACCCTTTGGCCCCCACGCCTGCTGCACCTGTGCTGCACGCCTTGCACTGCCCGCCTTGCGCCGCCTGCTGCTGTGCTCTCTGCTTCAGGCGGACAAGAAGGCGGAGGTGATAGAGTTCTGTTGTGAGCTGGTGGGAAACCAGGAGATTTTCCGCACCAAGCGGTGCAAGTGCGTACCGCACTCTCACGCTCACCACTCTATCCGTGCCTTCATTTCACATGTGCTTTGCTGCTCACTTTCTGCCGCTTGCTGTGTGTGTCTTGTCTTGCTTATTCATCATGTATGTGTTCAGCCTGAAGTGGGAATCTGACATGTATGACCTCCTTGATCCTCACCTTGCCCTGCTTGTTGCTGTGCCTGTTCCTCTGCTGGCAGGGAGGACGCATCCCTGGCTGATCGCATGCACCTCTGCAGCGAGGCGTGCCAAATGGCAGTCAGTGAGGCGTGTGACAAGGTGAGCTTTTGATGCTGCTGCCTTTTGCTTCAAATGGTGTGTTGTTTGTGATATGTTTTGTAATGATTTCAGGTTGCCCCACAATTTTTTGCCTTGTGACCCTGCTTTTGGTTGTCTTTTCTTCCAGGCCTTCCCAACGAGCCAAAACAGCGACTACAAGAAGTGCCTCAGCCTGATTCCAAGAAATTGCCTCGACGCATGTCGCAACATTCTTAAATCAAAAGACAAATGACAAAACCCAACTACCCTTCACTAGGTCTAGTTTAACCCATTACATAGCTGTCTATTTTAGCTTAGTTTTTTGTTTTTCGTCGATAAAAATTACCTTATCTCACGTTTAGAGGTTAACACATAGTAAGGGATCGTTTTCCAAATCCCTGGTTGCCCAGATACCTCATCACCTTTGGACATCGTAACAGAACGAAGCGGAGCGAAGACCGCCATGCGAATCGGGTCTGTCAGTGGAGAGAGATATTTCCCTCCCCAGAATCCAGGAGCTCGCGGCTGATGGCGTAACAGACTGTGCCATCTGTCTGCTGCACTTTCCACGTCGAGCTAATGCCAAATGGCAGCCCATATCCCTGCATCAACGGCTTGGTTTGCCGCTCTGACGACCGTCGTTGAGTTTTCGTCGACTTGTCGCAAACTCGCGATCTGTCGCTAACGGACCTTCTTTCTGCCTGTCCTTTCTCCTCCGTCCAGCTTATGCCTCCTTGCAAGGCAACCTTCACTAACCACACACAACGCATTCTTCCATGGGTTTTTAGTTATTGCGGAAGGGGTACTTCCGAACCTGCGCTTTCTAGGGAGCTTCATCTCTACCTGCACAGAGTTTCCCAGGTTTCGACGCCCAGACAGAAGACTTATTGCGCTGGGACAGAACTCGGCTCCACGTTTACCCACGTGTCATCATCTCGTAAGGCCTTAGCTGCTACTAGTCAGGCAAACGACGCACAACAGAATTTGTTTTTTTTTTCCTCTCTAATCCGCACTAAACTAAATCCCTCTCGGCTGGCAAGTGATAGGGGGCATCAACCCTAAACACTGCGACTAAGTGTTTAGGGTTGATGCCAAAAATAATCCCTCTTGGTTGGCATGTAAATAAAGGGCATCAATCCTAAACACCTAATCGCGTGGAGTTTAGGGTTGATGCCCTCGAAAACTTGCCACCCGAGAGGGGTTTAGTTTTGTGCTTGCTGGCAGAAGACACCCGATGAAAACAGTGCTTGCGTGACGTGCGGAGAAGCCGAGTTCTGTGTTAGCACAATAACTCTTCCGCCTCAGAAGCGGATCAGCGGAAAGTGTGCGCAAGCTGAGATGAAAGTCCCTTGAAAGAAGGACAGCTACAGTAAGCCTTCCGGGGAAACTAAAAACCCTTCTTCCATTCCAGAAATCAATTCCCTGAGCTCCGCCAGCATCCAGCACTTGCATTGTTTCACTGGCTTGTGCTCTGGCGTCTCAGATCACCGTCCGCGACAGTATTAGGTTAAGCATTAGGTGTTCTCTTTGTGAAACAGAGAATAATAGAAGACACTCTTTACAAAGGATATTTCAACTGACGTTTTCTGGTTTAGGTTGCTGTTGAAGTCGTCGTCGCCATGGCATCAGCGTCGTGTCACACGTCATTAACAGCAAATGGCATTCGATACGCCACTGGCGGCGCAGTAAAGCTCTCGCAATCAAGGCGGTGCTCGTTTTCCGGCGCCAGGCGTATCGACGGTGGACTCCTGCGCCGTCGAGATCACCTCAGCCGCCGCGGAGTCGCCGCTCGAGCGTCTGTCGAGATGACCGAAGCGGAGAAAGAGGGCTGGCGGAAACGGCGGGTAGGCATCGCTTACTCAAAAATTTGTGCATACGTGTAGCCTTCTCATCCGTCTGAAAAGTTTTCCGATTGTCACCGTTCTACTGCTTACAACTTCTTCCACTCCCATGGAAGCTATCGCTTTAGTGAACCAGAACGATCAAAACGTTGTGCCGTTTTGACGGCGGTTATCCGTTGCGTACGAAACCCCGCGTGTGTTAATCGCTAGTTCACGTCGTTGTTCGCCCGGGTACTCCCGGCCGTGTCGTGCCCTGATGCCATCAGAGCGAGGCAGCGGAGGAGGCGGCGCAGAAGGCGGAGAAGGAGACGGAGGCGGCGGAGGCGGGCGCGGTGGACGAGTGGCGGTGGACGCTCAACTGGAACCACATCCTGCCCAACCTCATCGTCGGCTCCTGCCCTCGCTCGCCGGACGACGTTGTCAGTCCCTCTCCCTCCCAAGCCTCTTCTCACCGCCCTACTGCCCCTTGCGACCGTTCCTGCTCGCGTGACTGTCGCCTCTGCCGCTCTGCTCGTCGCTGCTGCTCGCAGCCACTGTACACCACGGCATTAGGCGTCGGTATCCTTTCTCCTTTTCCACTTCAGCGTACCCGCAACCTGCTCATTCCTCTTTGTCCCTCCGTCTCCCTCTGTGTCCCTCCGTTTCATCCCCCGCTCATTCATCCGTGCCCCTCCTTCGGCCTTCACGGGTGGCAGGATCGCATAGCGGACGAGGCGGGAGCAACGGCGATCCTGAACCTGCAGTCCGATCTCTGCTTCGACGCGCTGCAGGTGCGTGCCCCACCCCCCACACCCACTGCCAACCCCACGGCCCGGTACGTGCGGGAAGCACGAAGTGGTACATTCATTGGAACACCATACGTGGAAACGATAAGAAACATACGCTTTCCAAAATTCGGACGAATTAACGCACATGCGGAAGTACGACCTAGCTTTCCTTGGTTGCTAGGCACAAGCAGAAGCTCACCTGCATTGTTACAACCCCTACTCTTCTCTGCGCTATGGCTCATATGGTGCGTCCGGCACTCACCTTGTCTCGGATGCTCTGCGTGCTGTGCTGTCTGTGCTGTGGTATGTGTGCTGCTCGCGCTGTGCTGTCTTGTGGTGCGGTGCGGTGCTGCTGGGTGATGCTGCATGGTGCGTGGTGGCTCTGGGCGCATCAGATTCCGTTTGAGAGCATTCGGGCGCGGGCGGTGGAGCGAGGGGTGCTGCTGGCGCGAGTGCCAATCAGAGACTTCGACCACGGCGACCAGGTGCCACCTCCCGCCCCTGCCTCCCTCTTTCCCGTATTCGCGCATACGTGCCTTTGCCTCCCTCCCTTCCAGTCTGCCTTATTCCAGTCTGCTCCCAGACGTTCCCGTTTCTCCTTCCATTTCATTTCACCCTTTAGTTTTCTTTCTGCTGATCCAGTCTCCAGCCCCTACTTCAAATCTCTTCTCATTGTAGCTCTCCTCCCTCCCCCCGCCACACACACCCACTCTTCCTCCGTGCGCCCGCTCAATGTGCGTGCCGCGCAGGCGTTCATGCTACCGGAGGCAGTGCGGGTGGTGAACGTGCTGCTGCACCGGGGGCACACGGTGTACGTGCACTGCACGGCGGGCATCAACCGCGCGTCGCTGGTCTGCGTGGCGTACCTCTACTTCGTGCAGGGGCTGCGCCGCGACGAGGCGGTCACGGTGGTGAAGAGCGCGCGCCCCATCGCGCACCCGTACCTCGACTGCCTGGCGGACGCCAAGCGCCGCCTGCTGGAGGGGCGGCAGGAGGAGATGACGGCGCTCGCCACTCAGATCTACGAGCAGCGCAGCAACGGCGGGCACACCGGCTCCGCCACCTCTGATTGGTCCGCCGCCCAGGTGGGAAAGGAAGGGGACAGGAAGGAGGGGAAGAGAGGGGGGGAAGGTGTTGCGGGCATGCCGCGTGTTGCTCAGCATCTGCCGGCTGTGCTCTTTCCTCATTGCAGGCCCATTGTGCCCACCAGCTGGTTCCCCTGCCCCTCTCTGCTCATGCTCTCTCCACCTGTTCTGCCCGTCCTTGCATTGCCCGCTCCATTGTGTTGCCTCTCCCGTGCCGCCCAGACGACAGCCATTGCAGCATCGTTCCGCAAGTTCCTCGAGGTCGACAATGTGAGTGCAGCCCTGCCCGCCCTCTCCTAGTGCCGCCCTTTCCGCCCTCTCCTAGTGCCGCCCTGCCCGCCCTCTCCTAGTGCCGCCCTGCCCGCCCTCGCCTAGTGCCGCCCTGCCCGCCCTCTCCTAGTGCCGCCCTGCCCGCCCTCGCCTAGTGCCGCCCTGCCCGCCCTCTCCTAGTGCCGCCCTGCCCGCCCTCTCCTAGTGCCGCCCTGCCCGCCTCTCCCAGTGCCGCCCTGCCCGCCCTCTCCTAGTGCCGCCCTGCCCGCCCTCTCCTAGTGCCGCCCTGCCCGCCTCTCCCAGTGCCGCCCTGCCCGCCCTCTCCTAGTGCCGCCCTGCCCACCTTGCATGTGCTCTCGGCTATTTCAAAGCTTGCTGTGGTGCATACACCTCCCATGGCTCCCTGCATCCCCACCCAACACACACAAGCACACACAAGCACACACACACACGCGCACACACACACACACACACACACACAAACACACACACACACGCGCACACACACACACACACACACACAACACACACACACGCGCACACACACACACACACACACACAAACACACACACACACACACAAACACACACACACACACACACACAAGCACACACACACACACAAGCACACACACACACACACACACACACACACAAGCACACACACACACAAGCACACACACACACACACACACACACACACACACACACACACACACACACACACACCTGCTGGAGCACACACATGCACATGCACATGCACATGCACATGCACATGCACATGCACATGCACATGCACATTGCAACAATGCACTGCAAGTTGTTGCTGGACGATTCTCTGACGCCACCCTTTGGTGCTCCGCTGCCCTGCCATCCCCACCCCCCCCCCCCCACACACACCCTCCTCCCAGGGCCTGCTGTCGATGGAGGACGACCTGGCGGCAGCAGCAGAGGCGAGGCGGCAGCAGCAGGAGGAGGAGAGTGATGACGAGCGCGGGGAGGCGGTGGCAGCGGAGATCGAGCGGCTGACAGGGGAGCTGCGGCAGCAGCGGGAGGAGATCCAGCAGCTGCAGGCGGCGGCGCGGCAGTGGAAGCTGCAGAAGGAGCAGGCAGAGGGCATGGTGCAGCTGCTGCAGCAGGAACTCGCCATCAAGGACGCTGCTACTGCTGCTGCTGCTGCTGCTGCTGCAGCCACTGCTGCTGCTGCTACTGCAGCCGCCACAGCTGCTGTTGCCACGGCAGGAGGGGGAGCTGGCAGCTTGAAGGCAGCAGGGAGCACGAATGGAGTTGCTGTAGTGAGCAGTGCAGATGGGGGCAATGGTGTTGCCAGTCCAAAGGCAGTGGGATCTGCGAAGTCTGAAAGTGGCTCGGAGTCACTTAAGGTTGCTGAAGACCTGATGTGAATATGAGCACCTCTTACCGTAGTTTATTATTGCATTGCATTGTCCCTTAACAAGCGTGATTGAATGCTCTTGCGGGCCATTATGAAAAATGGATGGATGTGCTGTGTCGTTGTATGCAGGCCACCTGCTGGAAGAAATAGTTGGCTGTTCAACTCTTTCTGGGATATGGGCATGCTGGAGCCTCAACGTTTTCGGAAATGAAATTAGGGAACAACACATTGTACGGTAAGCGAAGTCTGAACGTCTTGCTGTAGGTTCGGCTGCCATGTTTATTGACGGGTACACAAGGCACTCGAACTTTGCATCTGTGCCTGCTCCCTCACCTCCTTTTGCGGGATTCGAATAACGAGCCTGCTGGTGAAAGTTGTCCTCATGTGTGGAAGCGTGACTGGTGCGGCTGTCTAAGCTGGCAGAGAACCTGTCCACATGGTGTGGATCCGATTTGTTACGATCAATGCCGACCGCCATTTCAAAAACTTGGGCATTCTCGAGGTGGATTTTTGGCGATTGGGAGCTAACGCGACAAAACGAATCAATTTCGGTTCGGTGGATTGATAGCCACGGATGGCTGCAGCCAGGTGGGCCTGGACGAAGCGTGACACCGAGCCTTCTGGTTCGCTCGTGCATATGCTTGGTGCAGAGGCAATTTGCTCGACGAGCGGCGGGCGCTCCTTTCCCCCCCCCCCCCCCCAGCGCCAAGACGTTGGGTTGAGGTGCAGCGGAATCTTCATGCACTCGCGGTCGCGGCTCTGCGGGGCTCCTACTGTACGTAACTGATGAACACCCGTTTTGGGGCAAGGTTGCAACAGTACAGTATTTACCCTTCTCCGTGAGTCGTGACCAATGCTATCCTGCCCTTCCAATCCCATCCACAACCCCACCACAAGTAGCCAGCTTGTTTATGTACTGTGCTTCCTGCCCGGGTCAGAGGCGGAATTCATTCTGTTCATGGGACCTCCTCCTCTTCTCAATTCCACTTTTCCGCCATTTTGTTTCACCACCCACCACCATCCACCATCTGCTGTTTTCAAAGAGGTTTGTCGCTCAGAGTTACAATACGGTACATTTCAAGACGGTGTAGCTGGATAAACTACGGTGGTCGAATCACACCACTTGCGGAAGTGCCACGACCCTCCCCGAGACCGTCTCTCTCAACAAGCCTCACCACCGACTCCTCTTCCTCTTCCTACCACCTGCTTTCTGTTCAGTGTTGCGCTTTCTAGGGATCAAGCAGAGCTTGTGAAACCCTAGTCACTTCCGTGAGCTTGGTTCCATAGTCACAAAACGAATCCAGGCCTCAGCTGCTAAAATTACGTTCACCTTGCACGTTGGGCGTAGTTCCTTTCGTGGCAAGTGCGCTCCGTCGATGCGTTGACATGGAAATCTAATATGATTTGCTGATTCAGCGGACGACAAGCCTATGTAAAAAAGGAAATTTGTATTTTAGATTTTTTCTGTAGACGGTCCCATACGCGAAGATGACGTCGAGTCAGGTGTCAGCAGCGTTTGCGGCGGCGCGCACGTCCAAGGTGACTACGATAGTGTGGTTCCGCCGCGACCTGCGCGTCGAGGACAACCCCGCGCTCATCGCGGCGGCGCAGCAGGGCGCGGTGGTGCCGCTCTTTGTGTGGTCGCCGGAGGAGGAGGGGCAATTCTTCCCCGGCCGCGTGTCGCGCTGGTGGCTGCGCAACTCGCTGTCGCAGCTGCACGCGGCGCTCACGGCGCTGGGCGTGCCGCTCTTCATGCGGCGCGCCAAGTCGACCCTGGCGGTGCTGCTGGAAGTCATGGCGGCCACCGGCGCCACGCAGGTCTTCTACAACCACCTCTACGGTGCGCTGCCCTCCGCCCACCGCCCCGCCCTGCGTTTTTCAAATCTGGCTCTTTCCTTCTCGTCCCTCGGGGCTTGCCGCCCGTGTCTATGGTCATCAACCACCGACGTAAGATCCCTCATACTACTCCCTCCATCCCTCCCTCCCTCGTGCCCTCCCCCTCTTCCCCCTCTCCCCCCCCCCCCCCACTCTCCCTCCCCCCCGTCTCCGCGCAGACCCGGCGTCGTTGGTGCGCGACCACCGCGTGAAGCAGGAGCTGAGTCGGCGCGGAGTGGTGGTGCGCTCGTTTAACGCGGATCTACTCTTCGAGCCCTGGGAGATCTTCGACGACCACGGCAAGGCCTTCACCACCTTCCGCTCCTTCTGGCGCCACTGCCTGCACCACCCGCGTCCCTCCCGCCCCGACCCGCCGCTCCCCGCGCCCGCGCGCCTGTGCGGGCCGCTGGGGTTCGTGCGGAGCGTGGCGGTGGACCTGCTGGGGCTCGAGGCGGACGACGAGCGCCCCAGCAACGACCTGCTCGCGCGCGCCTGGCTGCCCGGCTGCACCAACGCGGACCGCGCGCTCGTCGCGTTCCTGCACGGCCCGCTGCTCGAGTACGCCGCGAACCGCAGCAAGGCGGACAGCGCGACGACGTCGCTGCTCTCCCCGCACCTGCACTTCGGGGAGATCTCCGCGCGCCGCATCTTCCACGAGTGCCAGCGCCTCAGCGTCGCGTGGCAGAAGGACGGGCTCCCGCGCGCGGCGGAGAGCGTCGCGCAGTTCGTGCGCGCTCTGGGTTTCCGCGAGTACTCGCGCTACCTCTCCTTCAACTTCCCCTTCACGCACGAGCGCTCCCTCCTCGCGAACCTCAAGCACTTCCCGTGGCGCGTGGACGAGCACATGTTCAAGCTATGGCGGCAGGGGCGCACGGGGTACCCGCTCGTGGACGCGGGCATGCGCGAGCTGTGGGCGACGGGGTGGCTGCACAACCGCATCCGCGTCGTTGTCGCGTCGTTCTGCGTGAAGTTCCTGCAGCTGCCGTGGCGGTGGGGCATGAAGTACTTCTGGGACACGCTGCTCGACGCGGATCTCGAGGCGGACGTGCTGGGCTGGCAGTACATCAGCGGCTCGCTGCCCGACGGCCACGAGCTCGACCGCATGGACGACCCCGAGGAGGATGGCTATCGTTTCGACCCCGAGGGGGAGTACGTGCGGAGGTGGGTGCCGGAGCTTGCACGCGTGCCGACGGACTGGATTCACCACCCGTGGGACGCGCCGCCTGTCGTGCTGCGCATGGCGGGGGTGGAGTTGGGGGCGAATTACCCGCGGCCCGTGCTTGATGTGCTCACGGCGCGGCAGCGGCTGCAGGAGGCGGTGGACACGATGTGGCAGCGCGAGGCGGCGCTGAAGGCGGCTGCCGCCAACGGGTGCGACGAGGGGCTGGGCGACACGGAGGAGGTGCTCGTCGCGTTCTCGCGCGCGCCTGACCACCGCCTGCCCATGCGCGTGCACACCGCGCTCGTGCGCCCCGAGCTCAGCTGCGCCAATGGCGCCTCCGTCCCCGCCGCGTCGCACAGCACGCTGGCGGCCAGCGCCAGGGGCGGCGCAGAGGGGTTGGCGCGCTCCGCGTCGTGCGACTCCGCTGCCGCCAGCGGGGTCGGGCCGTGGCGCGGACCTGCAGATAACGGGGAGGGGGCGGCGCAGGGGGTGCGCGCGGGCGGGGAGGAGCTCCCCCTGGCCGTGCAGATGGAGGCGGCGGCGGCGGCGGTGATGGCGGCGGACAGGGCGGGGAAGGCGGCGCGAGGAGCGGCGGAAGGGGAGTGCGGGGAGGTGAAAAGGCAAGTCGCGGATGGAGAAGCGGCGGAGCTGGCGGCGGGGACGGCGGACGGCGCGGACGGCGCGGGCGGTGCGGGCGGAACTGCGCCTGGCATTGTCCCGTGGAACGACCAGATGGTGCCGTACTTCCCCTCGCCCGCCACCATCCAGGCCGCGGAAGCCATTCTCGCGGGGGACGCCGCTGCGGCGCGCGCCACTGAGGCGGAAGGCGTGCAGCCGCCCTTCCCCAAGGACGTGCCGGCGGAAGGGAAGGGGACTCGCCCTCCTGCGCCGGGCGCGCCGGATCAACCAGCTGCGGGGAAGGGGAACGTGGCGGGCGGGGCGACGTCGGCGCTGCCGCGTTGGGCGGCAGTTCTGGGCGGGCAGGGCGGAGGCGGGGCCGCGCACGGGACGGCGGACGGGTTGTCCCCGTCCGCGCGCGTGTCCAGTCTGGTGGAACTGCAGCTGTTCCCCTCTGCCCCGCGCCCCGCCCCCGCCGATGGCGCGCGCGCGCAGAGGGGAAAAATGGCGGAGGGGAGGCAGGCGGAAGGGTCGAAGAAGGATGGCGGGGCCACGACGGGGAAGGAAGGCGGGGGAGTGCTTGGAAAGCGCGGATTCAGTAACGTGTGGGGAGATGACACGCCGTTTCCTTCTACAATGTTCCGAAGAGTGAAAGATGAAACGCCGTTTGTACCCGTACTGGTGCAACAGCAACTGCGGCAGCACCAGCAGCAGCAGCAGCGGCAGGCGCAAGAGGGGCAAGAGCACCTGGCGGCGATGAGGGCGGGTGTGACGGCCGAGGTGGGGCAGAAGCTGATGGCCCTGCAGCAGCAGCAGCAGCAGCAGCGGCTGGCGGCGGGCAACGCAACGAATGCACGCGACCGCTGCAACGCGCCCAACGACCCTGCCGGCGCAGCCAGAGTTCCTGGCGCAGCAGCTGCGGAAGCAGCAGCGCCAGGCGCGGCGGAGCAGCAGAGGGGCGGGGCGGGCAGGGAGGCGGGCGGGGCAGGGGGCGGGGCGGGGGGCCTTTACGCGGGGCCCACGGGGCGCGTGGCGCTGACAGGCCTGCCGTTCCGCGTGAGCTCCGCTGCTGAGGCTGGCGCCACCAGCGCTGGCGGCGAGGGCAGAATACCCCACGCTCACGCGCACGCGCACGCCCAGGCCCAGGCCCAGGCGCATGTGCAGGCGCAGGCTCAGGCAGAGGCGGAGGCACAGGCGCAGGCAGAGATAGAGGCGCAGATAGAGGCGCAGCTGGGCGGACATGCTGCAGCTGCAGCCGCCGCCGCAGCCGCAGGCAGGGCGCATAATCGTGGGATGCGGTCGCCTCAACGTAGCAAGCCTGAGCGCCTGTCGAGTGAGGTGAGTTGGCCTCCCCTCCCAGTGCCTTGCTCTGCCACCTGCCTCTCACCCCACACCATCTCCACTCCTCCCTGCTCCATGCCCCTCTGCTGCTGACCCGCCAAGCTTGCTCCTTCCCCACGGCCCTTCCTCTCCTGCTTATCCTTCCACCAGTTTTTTCTAACAAGCTCTCTCCACTCTCTCCTCTTCCCACCTCCCGTCTGCAGGATGCGACAGCAGCAGCCATGGGCAAGAAGGGGTGGGGGCCGCTCACCTTCCTCTCCCTTGTGTCGCCGCACCTGCCGCACCACCAGCACCACCCAGCACACCCCCACTCCCTGCCTTCCTTTCCCCCGGCCGCTGCTCTGCAAGAAGGGGTGGTGCCAAGGCAGCACATCCGCCTCTTCCCCTCCTGATGCCGACCCACAACAGCCGCCTTTTGCGTTGCTGATTTGTTGCTGTGTAAGCAGCTCTTTTATGCACGATTCTTTCCTGTTACAGGGTGTACACATGTCGTAGTTTGAACTGATGGTGGTGGCACGACAATTTGCCACTTGAACACCATCCTTGCTATAAGCAGCATTGATGCAGGTTGCATTCCTTTACACAATTTCAAATCAAAATCACCTATGGTACTATTCCTGTAATGTTTATACATGTTGGTGCACACTACAAGATGAATGTGCATCTAACGCCACAATTGTACCATATCAGAGTAACAAGAGTGCAAAGCGGAGGTTACAAGGTTGGTAAGAAGGTGGCGAGAGGCCAAATTAGCATAGCTAGGCAAGAAGAGAATCTTAGTTCAGTGCTACAAAGGCTCAGCACAGCACAGCTCAAGGATGCGCCATGCGCGCACATCAACCACATCACCCCGCACACCATGAATCCTCCTGGAATAACGGCACCAGGATTATGCTCTAGATACCCGGAAATTCATTTAAGCTACGGTAACTGCCGTGAACCATGGCTGTGAGGAGCAGAGCAAGGAAGGGGTTAGTGGGCTGGGGTGGGTGCACGTGGGACAAGCAGCCATGCGCACACGGGGCAGGGGCAGCATAAAAGACCCCGCCGACACGGAAGCAGGCAGCAGGCAGTGAGCAGAAGCAGGTGAAGAGAGAGCAGAGTCGAGAGGAGCAGAGGGAGTGTGGCTCGAGGGAGCAGAGGGAGTGTGGCTCGAGGGAGCAGAGGGAGTGTGGCTCGAGGGAGCAGAGCCGTTAGACAGCAGCAGCGTTCCCGACAGAGGTTACAGCAGAGGCTCCCTGCAGTCGTCACCAGCAGAGGATTGGCTGTGAAAGCACGAAGGGCATGCAGAGCAGAGCAGAGCAGAGCAGAGCAGAGCAGAGCAGAGCAGAGCAGAGCAGAGCAGAGCAGAGCAGAGCAGAGCAGAGGGCGCCAGACAGCGCATGGCTTCCCTTCCCCATGGCTCAGGCGGTGCTGTCGGCCCCCTGTGCTGCACGCCCCTCCCCCTGAGCTGCACGCCCCTCCCCCTGTGCTGCACGCCCCTCCCCCTGTGCTGCACGCCCCTCCCCCTGTGCTGCACGCCCCTCCCCCTGTGCTGCACGCCCCTCCCCCTGTGCTGCACGCCCCTCCCCCTGTGCTGCACGCCCCTCCCCCTGTGCTGCACGCCCCTCCCCCTGTGCTGCACGCCCCTCCCCCTGTGCTGCACGCCCCTCCCCCTGAGCTGCACGCCCCTCCCCCTGAGCTGCACGCCCCTCCCCCTGAGCTGCACGCCCCTCCCCCTGAGCTGCACGCCCCTCCCCCTGAGCTGCACGCCCCTCCCCCTGAGCTGCACGCCCCTCCCCCTAAGCTGCACGCCCCTCCCCCTGAGCTGCACGCCCCTCCCCCTGAGCTGCACGCCCCTCCCCCTGAGCTGCACGCCCCTCCCCCTGTGCTGCACGCCCCTCCCCCTGTGCTGCAGGCCCCTCCCCCTGTGCTGCACGCCCCTCCCCCTCGGGCTGGGACACAATGGCCTGCACCTTGCTCAGCAGGCTGAACATGCTCTGCTTTATGTCCGGCACCGCCCCTGCCCCCCCACTCCCTTCCCCTGTGCCTGCCCCGGGCCCTGCAGCAGCAACCGTGGCAGCAGCAGCGCCATCAGTGGCAGCGGCAGGGGCAGGTGAGGCGGTGGGCAGAGGGGCAGGGGTAGACGGGAGGGAGGGTGGCGCAGCAGGGGTGTGTGCGGGAGGGGGAGCAGATGGCTGTGAAGGTTGTGTGGGCTCCACAGGGGGCGTGGGGAGGGCGTCCTGTGCCTCCCACCAATCGTCCCCTCCTGCCCCCCCATCCCCTCCTCCTCCCCCCATTCCCCCTGCCCCTGCTGCAAACCCAGGAGGCAATCCCTCCCTGCCGTGCTGTCCGCCCATACCGCCCCCACCACCACCACCACCACCACCAGCAGCAGCAGCGCCAGGAGAAGTGGCGGCGGCGGCGGGGGCGTGGTGGTGGCGGGGGGGTCCTTGGAGCGCGGCAGCAGCGAGCGCGTGGACGGGCCCAGCGTCGTGGGCGTGCCCATCCACGCCGCACTGCCCGGCCTCTGCGCCGCCTGCGCTGGGTTCGCCTGAAGGAGGTGAAGGGGGAAGAGGGGGAGAGACGGGACAGAAAAGAGGGGAAGGAGGAGGGAGGGAAGAGACAATGGTGGCGAGGAGGAGAAGGGCGTGATGAGGTGAGAGGCAATGGTGGGACACAATCAGTGTGATCAAGAGATGTTCTTTATACTTCGAAATGGATGCGGGGTAAGAGCATGAAGAGCAGATAAAGAGCAACATGCAGCAGGTGGACACATTAAGAATGGCACAAGCATTGGCACGCACCAGGCTGTGGCGCTGGGAGGGCGTGAGGCGGGCAGCCGGGGCGGCGGGCACGAGGGCAGCACCGGCCGGGGGAGGCGCGAGGGCGCGCGGGGGAGTGGGGGCGGGGGAGACCGCAGGGGGAAGGCGCGCAGGAGGGGTGCGGGCGGAGGGCGGGGGGCCGTGGGCGGAGGGTGGGGGGGTGTGGGCGGCGGGATATGTGGGCCGGATAGGCACTGCAGAGTCCAACTGATGGCAGAAGAGAGTGGGTGAGGGGGAAGAGGGGGCAGGGGAGGGGAGCAGGGGGGGGAGAAGAGAGATGAAAGAAGGGACGAACGTGAAGAGTGAGAGGAGACGAGTTGAATGAAAGGGGAAGGCGAGGAGAGATGAGTGTGGAGAGGCAGAGGGCGGAGTGCAGAGAGCAGAGGCACGGAAAGGCATTGAGAGGAAACCCTGGAAGGGGATGGCACGCCAGCACCATGGCACGCCAGCACCATGGCACAGCGTGGAGCGGAGAGGCGAGGAGAGCGGAGGAAAGAGAGAGCGCGAGCAAGCAAGGGGGGGGGGCACTGACGGAGGCGGTGTAGGGGCGCAGGCGGAAGGACACGTCCCATGAGCCAAAGAGCGACGAGCCGTGCATGGCCTCGTGCATCGCTGCTGTCGCTGACGCCGGGTCCTCGAATACCACCTGGCGCATGGGGGGCGGGGAAGAGGAGGGCGGAAGAGAGGGGGAAGGGCGGAAGCAGGGGCACGGGGATGGGGCGTGGGTGTGGGGCACATGGCACAAGGAGAACAGCATGGGTGAGAGTTAATGAGCAACCTTGCTGCTCACACGGAGCACATTCATACACGCCCCCTCACCACACTGCCCTGCCGCTACCAAGCCCCACATCCCCTTCCATCCAGCCCCCTCCTCTAATCCCCGCCGCACTCCTTTGCCCCTTCCCAGTCCCCTCCGCCCCCATCCCCACTCACATGAGCCAATCCTCCTCCACTGACCCTCATCCCCCTCCCTCTCACCTCAGCGACGCCCTCCCCCTTGACACACCTCAGCACGCACCTCAGCGACGCCCTCCCCCATGACTCACCTCAGCGACTCACCTCAGCGACGCCCTGGTATTTGATGAGCTTGGCGCCCAGCAGCGCACCGAAGCGCGCGAAGGTGGCGCGCAGCTGCGCCACGGACGGCTGCGGCATGAGCTTGGGGAAGCGCATGCACAGCACCTGCTGCCCCGCGCCCTGCTGCCCCGCGCCCTGCTGCCCCGCGCCCTGCTGCCCGCCCCCTCCCTGCCCGCCCCCCCCTTGCTGCCCGCCCCCTCCCTGCTGCTGCCACCCACCCTGCTGCCCCTGCCCCTGCCCCTGCCCCTGCTGCTGGGGGAGAGGAGGGTGGTGGGAGGGTGAGAGGTGGAGGGTGGGAGGTTGGGGGTTGAGAGGTTTAGGTGAGAGTCGGAGAAGAGGGAAGGCATGATGAGGGCATAAGACACGCTGCAATGATGCATCAGGAGACTTCACTGCTTGCATAACTCACGCCACGTCATGCCACACCACGCCACCTCATGCCACACCACGCCACCTCATGCCACACCACGCCACGCCACACTACACCACATCATGCCACAAACAGCTGAGCCAGCCATAAGTTGCTGCACAACACGCACCTGCAGCCATCCCGGTGGCACTGACGAGGCATCCTGTGCTGTCAGCGCTAACGCATGGGGAGGCGATTCTGGAGCAAGGGCGGGCAGAGGGCGGGCGGGCGCAGGGAGAGAGAGGGAGTGTGAGGAGAATGGGGACAGTGCATGGCAGGCCACAGCCGAGGGCACAGGGGCGTGCACACTGGAGGAGGAAGAGAGAGCCATGTGGGCACATGCACACACCACCAAGTGGTGAACGGCACATGCACACACCACCAAGTGGTGAACGGCACATGCACACACCACCAAGTGGTGAACGGCACATGCACACACCACCAAGTGGTGAACGGCACATGCACACACCACCAAGTGGTGAACGGCACATGCACACACCACCAAGTGGTGAACGGCACATGCACACACCACCAAGTGGTGAACGGCACATGCACACACCACCAAGTGGTGAACGGCACATGCACACACCACCAAGTGGTGAACGGCACATGCACACACCACCAAGTGGTGAACGGCACATGCACACACCACCAAGTGGTGAACGGCACATGCACACACCACCAAGTGGTGAACGGCACATGCACACACCACCAAGTGGTGAACGGCACATGCACACACCACCAAGTGGTGAACGGCACATGCACACACCACCAAGTGGTGAACGGCACATGCACACACCACCAAGTGGTGAACGGCACATGCACACACCACCAAGTGGTGAACGGCACATGCACACACCACCAAGTGGTGAACGGCACATGCACACACCACCAAGTGGTGAACGGCACATGCACACACCACCAAGTGGTGAACGGCACATGCACACACCACCAAGTGGTGAACGGCACATGCACACACCACCAAGTGGTGAACGGCACATGCACACACCACCAAGTGGTGAACGGCACATGCACACACCACCAAGTGGTGAACGGCACATGCACACACCACCAAGTGGTGAACGGCACATGCACACACCACCAAGTGGTGAACGGCACATGCACACACCACCAAGTGGTGAACGGCACATGCACACACCACCAAGTGGTGAACGGCACATGCACACACCACCAAGTGGTGAACGGCACATGCACACACCACCAAGTGGTGAACGGCACATGCACACACCACCAAGTGGTGAACGGCACATGCACACACCACCAAGTGGTGAACGGCACATGCACACACCACCAAGTGGTGAACGGCACATGCACACACCACCAAGTGGTGAACGGCACATGCACACACCACCAAGTGGTGAACGGCACATGCACACACCACCAAGTGGTGAACGGCACATGCACACACCACCAAGTGGTGAACGGCACATGCACACACCACCAAGTGGTGAACGGCACATGCACACACCACCAAGTGGTGAACGGCACATGCACACACCACCAAGTGGTGAACGGCACATGCACACACCACCAAGTGGTGAACGGCACATGCACACACCACCAAGTGGTGAACGGCACATGCACACACCACCAAGTGGTGAACGGCACATGCACACACCACCAAGTGGTGAACGGCACATGCACACACCACCAAGTGGTGAACGGCACATGCACACACCACCAAGTGGTGAACGGCACATGCACACACCACCAAGTGGTGAACGGCACATGCACACACCACCAAGTGGTGAACGGCACATGCACACACCACCAAGTGGTGAACGGCACATGCACACACCACCAAGTGGTGAACGGCACATGCACACACCACCAAGTGGTGAACGGCACATGCACACCCCACCAAGTGGTGAACGGCACATGCACACACCACCAAGTGGTGAACGGCACATGCACACACCACCAAGTGGTGAACGGCACATGCACACACCACCAAGTGGTGAACGGCACATGCACACACCACCAAGTGGTGAACGGCACATGCACACACCACCAAGTGGTGAACGGCACATGCACACACCACCAAGTGGTGAACGGCACATGCACACACCACCAAGTGGTGAACGGCACATGCACACACCACCAAGTGGTGAACGGCACATGCACACACCACCAAGTGGTGAACGGCACATGCACACACCACCAAGTGGTGAACGGCACATGCACACACCACCAAGTGGTGAACGGCACATGCACACACCACCAAGTGGTGAACGGCACATGCACACACCACCAAGTGGTGAACGGCACATGCACACACCACCAAGTGGTGAACGGCACATGCACACACCACCAAGTGGTGAACGGCACATGCACACACCACCAAGTGGTGAACGGCACATGCACACACCACCAAGTGGTGAACGGCACATGCACACACCACCAAGTGGTGAACGGCACATGCACACACCACCAAGTGGTGAACGGCACATGCACACACCACCAAGTGGTGAACGGCACATGCACACACCACCAAGTGGTGAACGGCACATGCACACACCACCAAGTGGTGAACGGCACATGCACACACCACCAAGTGGTGAACGGCACATGCACACACCACCAAGTGGTGAACGGCACATGCACACACCACCAAGTGGTGAACGGCACATGCACACACCACCAAGTGGTGAACGGCACATGCACACACCACCAAGTGGTGAACGGCACATGCACACACCACCAAGTGGTGAACGGCACATGCACACACCACCAAGTGGTGAACGGCACATGCACACACCACCAAGTGGTGAACGGCACATGCACACACCACCAAGTGGTGAACGGCACATGCACACACCACCAAGTGGTGAACGGCACATGCACACACCACCAAGTGGTGAACGGCACATGCACACACCACCAAGTGGTGAACGGCACATGCACACACCACCAAGTGGTGAACGGCACATGCACACACCACCAAGTGGTGAACGGCACATGCACACACCACCAAGTGGTGAACGGCACATGCACACACCACCAAGTGGTGAACGGCACATGCACACACCACCAAGTGGTGAACGGCACATGCACACACCACCAAGTGGTGAACGGCACATGCACACACCACCAAGTGGTGAACGGCACATGCACACACCACCAAGTGGTGAACGGCACATGCACACACCACCAAGTGGTGAACGGCACATGCACACACCACCAAGTGGTGAACGGCACATGCACACACCACCAAGTGGTGAACGGCACATGCACACACCACCAAGTGGTGAACGGCACATGCACACACCACCAAGTGGTGAACGGCACATGCACACACCACCAAGTGGTGAACGGCACATGCACACACCACCAAGTGGTGAACGGCACATGCACACACCACCAAGTGGTGAACGGCACATGCACACACCACCAAGTGGTGAACGGCACATGCACACACCACCAAGTGGTGAACGGCACATGCACACACCACCAAGTGGTGAACGGCACATGCACACACCACCAAGTGGTGAACGGCACATGCACACACCACCAAGTGGTGAACGGCACATGCACACACACACACACACGGACGCCCACCAGGCACCCCACGTCCTCCCCCCCTGCACTGCACTCACCATCACCACCTGCCCCGCCACGCGCCTCCCTCTTAGCGGCCGCCAGCTGCTGCAGCGACCGCCGCCGGCCCTCTGGGCTCAGTGTGTCCCCCTCCACACGCGCGGGCCCCACTGCCTTGCGCTGCCGCAAAGCCCTCTCCTGCCCCCCCTCCCCCACCTCGCGCTGCCTCCCCTCCTCCCACTCACCCCCTTCCACTGCTCCACCATCCACCCCTCCTCCCTCACCCCCTCGCCCCCTGCCCCTCCCCCTGCCTCTCCCCCTCCCCCTCCCCCGCCCCCTCCCAGTCAAACTCACCCCCCCTCTCCCCCCTGCCTCCACTCCTGCCTCTCCCCTGCCCCGCCCGCCCTTCCCCCCTCTCGACCCCCGCCCGCGCCCACGCCCCCTGCCCCTGGCGGCCACAGGTCTCTCCTCATCACTGCGCCCGTCCTCCTCCTCCCCCTCGCCCCCCTCGCTCTCACTGCCAGGGCGGGCGTCCACCAGCCGCTGCTGCCGCCGCGCCTTCACCTCCGCCTTGGTGCGCCCCCTCGGCCGCACCGCCGCCCCCGCCCCCGGCCCCGACCCCTCCTCCCCTGCTGCCTCTGCCGCTGCTGCCTTGCGTGCGGGTGCCGCTGGTGGGGGCGGTGGCGGCACTGGTTCCTCGTCCTCCGCCTCCTCCTCCCACCTGTCTTCCTCCTCCACCTCGCCCGTTATCACTCCCTCTCCCTCTCCCTCCTTCTCCTTCTCCTTCTCCTCCACACCCTTCGCCCTAACATGCACGCCTTGCTTCCTCTCCCCATCCATCATCGCCTCCTCCTTCGCCCCTTCATCCCCACGCTCCTTTTCCCCACTTACCCCATCCTTTCCTCCCTTCACCTCCTCCTTACTCACTTCCTTCTCCTTCTCGCCGCCTGCCTCTGCCTCCCCTCCCTCCACCTCCATCGGAGCAGCACCTTCACCAGCAACCACCTCCCTCTCTTTCTCACCCTCCTCTTCCTTCACCTTTTCCTCCTTCCTCTTCTCCTCCTCCTCGCCCCCAGCGCCCGCCACAGCGCCCTCGCCTGGCGTCTCCTCCTCCGCACCCTTCCCTTGTGCTTCCGCCCCCTCGCCTCCCGCTGCGCCCACCTCTCTCTCCGCCTCTCCCACCGCTGCACTCTTTTCACCCGCCGCCTCCTGGCCTGCCTTGCCTGCTGGAGCCTTCTTTGCCTCGCCTGCAGGGCGAACAGAGGGCGTGCGGAGCAGCATGAAAGCATTGGCAGCGAGGTAAGGGAGAGGAGCGCACAGTAATGAGCGACGGGTTGGTGGGTGGAGGGAGCGAGCAACCAAGGAAATAGGAAGGGAGTGGAGGAAAAACGAAAACACGCACCCTTGCTGGCAGCAGCAGCAGGTGGTGGTGGTTTGTGCGAGCGGGCGAACCAGAAGGTGTGTTGGCGCCATGCTGCCACGGGCTTGAGTGACTCGCTCAGATCCGCCCTGTGGCAGACAGGTGATGGGTGGAGGCAGACGCGGCAGACAGGTGATGGGTGGAGGCAGACGCGGCACATCACATGAACGGCGAGACATGTCATTTGAGTGCTCACATTCCTCCTTGCAGTGCTGCCGTGCACATGCTGCATTGCCCCCACTTACATTCCCCCTCCCCCCACTTACATGCCTTCCCACTCACATGCCTTCCCACTCACACCCCCTCTCCCAACCCCCGCACTCACAGCTCCAGGGGGCTCCTCGCAAGGCGAAGCAGGTCATCTCGGGCGCGCTCAGCGCCGGCCTTGATGCCCAGCCGCTGCATCTCCACCGCCCACTTATGCGCGTTGCTCGGCCGCCCCTTGCCCCGCCCCCCTCCCCCCGCCCCCGCCCCCCCAGGTGACTGCACGGGTGAGCGCAGCGGCGAGTGCACTGGGGACTTGACCTCACCCCCCTGCTCCTCCGCCCCTTCTCCCCCTTCCGCCCCCTCCTTGGCGTCTCCCTCCACCGGCTTTTTCCCAGCCGCCACTATTGCCCCCGCCCCTTCCTCCTCCGCACCTTCTCCCTCGTCCGCTGCGCCCTCCTCCCCTGCTGCCCCCTCCGCGCCCTCCTCCTCTTGTACCACACGCTTCTTCCTCCTCCGTCGCTTCCCCTCCTCCCTTTCCCTCTCCTCGCCCGGCCCCCCCTCCGACTTGCGCCGTCTCATCTTCTTCTTCTTCCGCTTCCGCCCCTCTTCCTCCCCCACTTCCTCCTCCTCCTCTTCCTCCTCCTCCTCCTCTTCCTCCTCTTCTTCCTCGTGCTTCCTCTTCCTCCCACGCCTTTTTCCGCCCTTCTCACTCTGCCTGCCCTTGCGCGCCTTCTTCCGCCTCCCATCCTCCTCGTCCTCCTCCTCCTCTTCCTCCCCTATCTCCTCCTCCTCATCCTCCTCCTCCCACTTCCGCCCTCGTTTCTTCTTCTCTTTCACCACCACCACCTCCTCTTCCTCCTCCTCTTCCTCCTCCTTCTCTTCCTCCTGCTCCTCCTGCTCCTCCTCCTCTTCCTCCTCTATATGCGCCCTCCGCTTCCCCCCTTTCTCTCCGCCCTTCTTCTTCCCCTCCGCCCCTGCGCCCCCGCCCCCCTCCCCATCGGGCACCACCAGGCGCCCCTCCACCAGAAACACCTCCCCCAGGTCGGGCCTGCGCGCGCCCTGCTCCTCCCCCTTCACCTTGGCGCGCTCCCCTCCCCCTTCCATGAACCGCTGCCGCAGCACTGCCGCCAGCAGTGCGTCGCGGTGCCTGCGCGGGGGGGAGAGGGAAGGCAGGAAAAAGGGGAAAGGGAGGGGGGATGGGGAGGGGGGAGGGGGAGAAACAGGAGGACGCAGTGGGAGGGGCAGGTGTGGGGAGAGAAGTTGGGGGGTGGGGGGAATCCGACGCCACTGGTTGGGGGGAAAGGGAGAAGAGGGACCAAGTGCAGTGCAGAGAAGGGAGGCATGAGAAACGCACAGAGTGCTGCACACTAGGTGGGCCGGTGCAAGACGCGTGCAGCGAGGAGGGCGCCTGGGGCGACGAGTGTGCATGGGTCGAGGAGTGCGGCGATGGGGGACCAGTGCAACTCACCCGCCAATGGGATTGCGGGCCGTGGCTCGCAGGTAGGAGAGCATGACGGCTGGTGGGGGGTGAGGAGGGGAGGGGGGAAGGGAAGCAAAAAGAGGAGAAGAAATGAGAGGAGCCGCAAGAAAGAGAGGAGAGGAATGAGGAGTGGAGGGAGAGAAGTGGAAAAAGGCGGGCAGGCAGGGAAAGGCTAGGGCGTACTGGGGTTGACGCGGCGGTGTTGAGCGGCGAGTGTGGAGGGCTTAGCGCCGTGCAGCAGCCCCTTGGCGACCTGCTCGTCCAGCTCCACCAGTGCCTCCGCCACGGCCTGGCAGAAGAGCTTCATGGGCGTCTGCTGTGACTTGTCCCAATAGTGCTCCGCGAATGGTAGTAGGTCCATGGGGCGCAGCCAGTTGCTGTTGGCAGCGCGAGGCGGGGAGCAGAGGGGAGAGGATGATGGGAGGGGGGAAGGGCAGCGGCACGCACCCGGAATACACCACCCGCGCACAAAGCAGTGAGCACAATGCGCGGGCTGGACCAGGGGACTCACAAGGCGCGCGGGCTCGCAGTGGGGCGCTCACAAGGCAGCGGGGGGCTCACAAGGCGCGCGGGCGGGCAGGGCGAGGGGCACTCATAAGGCAGCGGGGGACTCAGAAAGCGCGCGGGTGGGCAGGGCGAGGGGCACTCACAAGGTCTGGTCGCCGTAGAAGCCGATGAGCAGGTGCCCCGAGCGGTGCTGCGCGCGCGCCCGCGGGGTGGCCTCGGAGGGGGAGAGCACGCGCGCAGGCCACCAGGGGTGCGACCGCACCTTGGCCCACACCAGCTCGTGCACCACCGGCGCCCACTCCCCCTCGTCCTCGCTCCCCCCGCTCTCCTCCTCCCCCGCGCGGGCCCTGCCAGCGGCGGGGGTGGCGGGGGAAGGGGGGGCTCTGGCGGAGGCCTTGGCGGGCGTGCCGTGGGGGCGGAGATGGGGGGACGCGCCCTTTGCTGCCTTGCGCTGGTCGCTGCCGTCCGCGCCCTGCCCGGGCCTGTCCTCCCGCTGCTTCCGCCGCACCTCCTCCTTCCCCCCTTTGCCCTTCTTTCCCTCTTTCGGCCCCTTTTCCTCGTCCGCTTCCTTTTCGCCCTTCCCTTCCTTCGCATCCTTCCCCGCTTTAGTCTCTTTTCCCTTCTCTTCCTTCTCCCCCTCCCCCTTCTCTTCCTTTTCCCCCTCCCCCTCCACTTCCTCCTCTTCCTTCTCCGTCTCCCCCTCCTTCGCTTCGGTCCCCTCAGTCCCCTCCCCCTCGTCCTTCCCCTCTTCCTCCTCCGCCCTCCCCTTCTCCGCCTCGTCGCGGTTCTCACCCGCATCAGTCGCGGACGCCGTTCCCCCTTCTGCTGCCACTTCTCCGCCTGCCGCTTCCATCCCTTCCGCCTCCACTCCTTCCGCCGCACCCCCTTCCGCTTCTCCTTCCGCTTTCGATTCCTCGTCTGCTTTCTTCTCTATTTTCTCTTCCGTTCTCTCCTCCGCTTTCCCTTCCGCTTTCTCCTCCGCTTTCCCCTCCGCCTCCGCTTTTTCCCCCCCTTCCCCCTCCGCTTCCTCCGCCGCTTTACCCTCCGCTTTCCCTTTAGCTCCCTTCCCCGCTTCCTCCTCCATTTTTTCTCCCGGTTTTTCTTCCGCTTGATCCTCCGCTTTCTCTTCCGCTTTCTCTTCCGCCTTCTCTGTTTTTTCCTCCAACCCACCGTCGTCGCCCGTCTCATCACCGCCCTGCTCCTTCGCCTCGCCACTCTTCCCTTCTTGCTCCTCCGCGCCCTCCGTTTCCCCCTCGCCGTCAACTCCGTCAGCCACGCCGTCAGCTTGCTTATTCTCACCGGCCTCAACACCCGCCGCGTCGCCACCCGCATTTTCGTCCGCACCCGCAGCAGCTGCGTCAGGCGCGGCGGCCGCGTCGCCGCGCTCGGCGTCATTCGCGCGATCATCGCTCGCGTCGCCGTCGTCTTTCACCGCTTCCGCGTCTCGCATTTCCTCGTCTTTTCCTCCCTCCGCGGCCGTCGCTCCAGCGACCGGCTCAGCGTCGGTGGCGTCCGCAACGCCGTTCTCTAGATGGCCTTCGCCGTCAGCGTCCGCCATAGCAATGTCTTCGTTATTCGTTGCTATTCCGTTCGCGCCATCTTTGGCGTCAACAGCTTCTGGAGGTCGGTCGCCGCCTCGTAATTTATCGCGGTCGATCAGATCTTTCTCCAATAAATCGGGCTCTTCCATTTCGCTTGAAAATGCTTCAGCTAAAACGACTACGCAAAAACTTCTCAGGTGAAACGCCTAAGCAAAAATAATTTCACCAGAGTGCTTTCGCCAAAACGAGAGGGAAGCTAGTTTCGGCAGGCAGCGAGACGGGGAAACGGGAAAATGGGAAGAAGAGAGGCGAGAGGAGAGACGAGGCGAGCTAGGGTTACGAACGACGGAAATGGCGAAATCGAGGCGTGGGTTTGGAAGTTTGAATTGTGGGAGGCGCCGAGATGCGGGCCAAGGAAGGGTGGCATTTTGACGAGCGCGGAGGGCGTGCGTATATCGAGCCATCGCCCCGACAACTACGGAGAAAAAATAGATAACAACAGCAGTTCGTACAAATGATTCCTTGTTCTGCAATCAGTGTTAGACAACATGAATCTAATTTAACTTGAACTTACCCAAGGCAGGCTGTATACTTGGATCTGTCAGGTGTAGTGGTTATACATTGGCAAATTAAATAGAATATGTACAGCGTGATTCACAGGGGGGCTGCAGTTCAACATCTTACCTAGTGATGGTATTTCTGTGGCTTTTGAACAAGGTTGTTCCACCACTGGTGAGCCAACTTCAGGTACACAAATGGTTTCAGGGATGAATCAGTATGCGTGGGAGCATTGTGATACAATACAATGGAGGTGGTTATGGAAGGAGGCATCTCTGCAGGATATGTGCAGTGCAGTGACCTTCTCTCCACCAGATTCCAGCACCCGGGCATGAACTCCCATGGCATCAGTCAGTCGCCGCATGTCATACTGTAACGCACAAGCAAGGCCGCCCTGCAAACATTCACTGATTGCTGCATTGGTTAAGTACATTCCAGATCGTGAGAACATAGGAACTTCTGTTGTTTCACCATCCGGAGAATCAGATTATCCGATTACACATCCATCATGGCTTAACCTAAAGGTGCAGCAGCAGCACACAGTACAAACTACAACACTGATAGCAAATACCTAGGACAAACTAGATCACGGCCTGAACTCGAGGCAGAATCAGATACATGTCGCAAGTTGCAAACATACTACAGTATAGTGCTATGTGATTGTATGGCATAGCATCTGAGGCAGCCATGATCTGCAAATCCCCACTCCTGCATCCCGCTTTCCTCCACTTCCCTCCTTGACTATCCTTCTTGCCTTCCCCGGTCATCCACATGCTCCTCAAGCTGCTGCCAGCCTGTACATGGCATGATGGCATAGCACATGATGACATGCGATGGCACACGATGTCATGCCACAACATGCCATGCCACAACATGCCGTGCCACACGATGTCATGCCACAACATGCCGTGCCACACGATGTCATGCCATAACATGCCGTGCCACACCATAATATGCCACAACATGGCATGCCATGCCATGACATGCGATCGCACATGAATACATGCCACAGAATGGCATACCCACTCCACGCAATGACATGCCACACCATGACATGTCACGCTATGATATGCCTCAAAATAACACACAACAACATTTGACAAACCATACTGAATCACACAATAACACACCACACTATGTCCCGCCATAGCACACACACTGTATCGTACCATACTATCATCCCACAAAATATCAGTCCACACGGAATCATACCACACTGCTATGTACCGCATAGTATCGTATCATACTGCAACACACCACTTGGCATCATACCACACTCTTTCACACCACACTATGTCACACCATGCCATGCCACCATCATACGGAACCACACCACACCACAACACACCATGGCGCCATCATTATCACTCTGTATCGTAATATCATCACACACTCACACCACATTAGATAAAACACATGCTGCACTGCATCGATATCACTCTGTCCCATACCACACCATATCACACTGTATGACACCACACTGTATCACACCACACTGATTGAAACTGTTTCATACCACACTACACCATACCAGCCCACATCAGCCGGTACCACACTGCATTATACCACACTGCATTAGACCACACTGTATCATACCACACAGTATAATACCAAACTATATCATACCACACAATATCATACCACACTGCATCATACCATACAATATCATCCTACACAAGTAACATACTGTATCACGCCACATAGTATAATACCACACTATATCATACCACACAAAATAATTATGCACAGTAAAATACCATAATGTACTATTCCATACTGTATCATACCACCCTGTATCATACCACACAGCACCATAACAACCCCCCACCACAACCCCTTGCTTCCCACCTTCACTTGCCAGCAGTAGGAGCAGCAGACAGCCCACTCCCTTTCGGAAACAGCACCCTGAAGGGCTGTGACTTGTAAGGCGGAGGTGTGGTAGTGGAAAATTGCTTCCAGCCCAAGACTCAAATCCCACCCCTGACGTAGCTAGAGCTGACGCGAACCAGAGTCGCCGGCCGGTCGACTCTGACGGTGTCCATTAGGCCTTGAACGCCAGATCGGTTACTTGAGCACCGAGTGCCGTGCCGCGCAGATTCCAGCCACCACACCCCGACCCATAAGCCACAATGCCCAGGAGATGCTGCCCCTAGGGAAGTGAACTGCCCGCTTGCTCCCATGCCTCCCACCCACCCACCTCCCTTCACCCCATGCCTGCTTACCTCTACTTACCATGCAGCCATGCAGAGCATCATGATGCCACAGGCTGCTGGGAAGTGGGGAGTGTGGGGGATTAACAGATGGGGGGACTCCACTGTGGTCCAGGCAGGGTGCTGCTGGCTGGGAAGGGAAAAGGGAGAGAGGAGGAGGTGAGTGAGAGGGTGGACTCCACTCTCCGCCCTTGCTCCAATGCTCCCACTCTCACCATACCTCACCTGTACCATACCAAACCTTTTACCACACCTCCCCACACCTTATCCTAGCCCAGCCTAGCCCCCCCCACTGCTGCTGCTTCTGCTACTGCTGCTGCTGCTGCTGCTGCTGCTGCTGCTGCTGCTGCCGGTCTGCTACTCAGCTTCCTGCTACAGACTTCACTAGATGCCAAGTGACCTGGTAGCGGGCATAGAAAACGGAGAGGGGGAAAATGAGAGGAAGGCAGGATGACCTGGTGAGTCAGCAGAAGCAGATAAGACACTGCAGCTGAGAGAAACGAGAATGGACAGAACAAAGAGACAGCTGCAGCAGTTGAGAACTTGAGGGAGGGAGGGATGAGGTCAAGGAGAGAGCTGACGTACCTTGAGAGAGGCCAAACCCACCCCCATACTCTCCCTCGTGGCAGCGACTCAAGTCTGCAGTGCTGCAATGCTCCGCTTCTTCTGCTCCACTCTTCGCTTGATGCTGAGTGACCTGGTAGCGGGAAAATAGAGAGAGAGGAGAGAGAGGAATTGAAGGCAGTGAATCGGGAGAAACAACAGTGAATCGGCAGTTGCGAGACCAAAGCTGGCAGAGACTGAATTGAAACAACAAAGGGACAGCTGCAGCAGACTGAGAACTCGAGGGAGGGAGGGATGAGGCCCAGGAGGGAGCTGACGTACCTCGAAAGGCCAAGCCCACCCCCATACTCTCCCTCATGGGAGTGATTTCAGTCTGCTGCAGTGCTGCCTCCCTCCCATCCCATCCCCACCTGCACGGCCACAGAAAAAGGTGAGGGGAGTTTCGGTGTTGACCCCCACGCCCCTCCCCTCCACCTGCAAGGCGCACAAGCAGAGATGGTCAGTGGGCAGTGAGGGGATGAAGGGTGAGATAATGGGAAGGCATGACAAGGAACATGGTGTAGTGCCCTGCCCAACACTCCCTCCACAGGAGCCAAGTACCAAACCTTCACCTTCCACTTCAACCATAACCTGAACTGAACCTTAACCCAGAGAAAAACCTGGTACCTTAACCAAGGGGGAAGGCTCTGTGGAGGGGTGGTTGGCATGACAGCAAGGAGGAAGGCGCATGGGGGGATGGCAATGCAGTGCTAAAAGAAAGACTGAGCGGACTAGGAATCAAGGATTGAGAGCTTATCTTTGTGTGGAGCGTTGACGCTGCCTTGCTGCTGCCCCTTGCTGCTGCCCCTTGCTGCTGCCCCTTGCTGCTGCCCCTTGCTGCTGCCCCTTGCTGCTGCCCCTTGCTGCAGGTCAGGCTTCGAGCAGAGAGCCTGGCCGATAGGGCGGGGAAGAGCACAGCGGGGGGAGAAAAGAGGGGAGGGAGTGGGAGAGATTAAGGGAAGCTATGGAGGACACGAGGGCGGGAGGAGAAGCGAGCGAGTGCATGGGGAGGATTCAGGAGTGTGGGTGTCGGTATGGGCACGGTGTGAGCATGGCATGGCATGAGACAGAGCGTGGTGCAGTGGCAACACTCCCTTCACAGGAGCCAAGTACCAAACCTTCACCTTCCACCTGAACCATAACCCAAAGAAAAACCTGGTACCTTATTCAAGGGAGAAGGCTCTGTGGAGGGTGATTGGCATGAAGCAAGGGAGAAGGTGGCAGTGCAGGGGACGTTGGGATGTGGGCTGAAAGTTGAAACAAGAGCCTGAGCTGAAAGAGAGAGCAAGGGCTGTGAGCTTATCTTTGTGTGGAGCATTGAAGGCGGCTTGCTGCTGCGCCTTGCTGATTTGCCTTGCTGGCTCCGAGCAGAGAGACAGGGGGCTAGGGGAAGGGCGGGGGGAGGGAAGAGGGAAGGGAACGTGAGTGATTCAAGGGAAGATATGGAGGACACTCAGGAGGGGAATGCGTGCATGTGCATTGAGTGATGGTGAGAGCATGGGATGGCATGGTGCAGTACCCACCACGCTCTCCACAGGAGCCAAGTACCAAACCTTCACCTTCCACCTGAACCATAACCTGAACCTGTACCTGAAAAGAAACCTGAGCCTATACCAAGGGAAGAGGCTCTGTGGAGGGTTGGTTGGCATTACAACTAGAAGGAAAGCATGTTGGGGGTAAGCCAGAGCAGGGAAGGTCGGCGGGATGTGGGTTTGAGAGCTCAGAAACTTCAGGTGCAACAGAAACGGAGCGGGTAAGAAACCAAGGGTGTGGGCTTATCTTTGTGTGGAGCGTTGCTGGTGATTTGATGAGCCTTGCTCCTGCGCCTTTCTCCTGCGCCTTTCTCCTGCGCCTTGCTCCTGCGCCTTGCTCCTGCGCCTTGCTCATGCGCCTTGCTCCTGCAAGGAGAAGTCGGCTCTACTCCCGCTGGGGAATAACTTGCAGGAAGGAAGAAGGGAGGGGTCAGGCTTCGTGCAGGTGGAAGCAAGAAAGGCAGAGAGGCTCTTGGGAGTCTGGGTCTCCCCGTCAGGAAGTGCAGACGTTACCTGGGATAAGACGCTGGCCACAGCGGCAGAGGAACTCATGAAATGGCAGTCAAAACACTTGACCACAACAGCGAGGGTGGCGGTTGTCAATGCGTACGTCTGCCCGATCTTGGCATTTCAAGGGCAAGTCTACCCTCCGTTAGAGAAGGTGTGGAAACGGATCATGAAGCTGCTCGTGAACTTCATCTCTGGCAACAAGGCGTCGGAAGAAAATCACTTCACTCTTTGGAGCAGGGAGCTGATCTTCAGACCACAGAAGGATGGCGGGCTGGGGGTTCGGGATCCCTTCATTGAACTCAGCGGCCTGGCTGCTAGGAGGGTGGGGAAGCTGGTGTTGAACAGGAGTGGTGTCTGCAGGTGGTTGGCGACGAAGGTGGCCGACCTCCCTGCTGGCTTCCGCTCCTTCTGGGCGCACCCGGATTTCCTGAAAGAGTGGAAAGGTCGGAGCGTCAGGTGGAAGCAGACTTGCGAATTGTTCATGAAATCAAGTGTGGCAAAAGGGGGGCCAGTTTTGCGCTGGGATGTTGCGCAGGAGCCGCTGGTGTTTAATCGGCAGGTCTTGCCTTACGGGAAGAAGCCGCTAGGCCGTCAGGCAGCGGCGAAAGGTCTTGAGCTGATGAAGCTTGGTGATTTTGTCGGTCGTGCGGAAGACGGTACGCGCTTTTTCAAGGATGATAAGGCGTTGGAAAAGGAGATGGGTACGCTCAAGAAGGCGCGAAAGGCGCTGAGATTCTTTGGCAGTGTCCCGGCCTCGTGGAAGGAGAAGCTGCTGGCGCCAGTCACGGGGGCAGAAATTTTGGCAGAATCATCATACGTGAAGAAAACAGGAGAGGTGGGAGTCTAGAAGGTGGAGTCAGTGAGACAGGAGGGGATTGCATGCCGAGCTTGTGACTGTTTCGGAGAAGCACGGGTGGGGTCTGCGGAAGTGATTGCAGTTCTCGATCTGGACAAGGTGGAGCCGTTGATATTGAGAGCCGGAAGAGTGATTGGAGCATGCGGGCTGCCTGAGGTACGGCTGCGCTGCTCGGAGCTTGGCGCGGAGGATCGGATTCCCCCCTTGAAGCAGCTGAGGTTGTTGTTTGGCGCACAGCAAGGGGTGATGCAGCAACAAGAGAAATGGTCGGAGGAGTGGGGGAAGGTGATTGACTGGAAGAGAGTCATCAGGGTGCGGGACTCTGCGGTGCTTCCGAATCGGGCCCGAGATGTCTTGCTTCACCTGCATTGTCGCAACCTTCAGGTCGGGGTGAGGCTGAAATTCCTCGAGGGGGTTGCATGCCCACATTGCGGTGGGGAGGAGACAGCGGAGCACTGTTTGTTTGAATGCCCCCGCATTCAGCCTGTGGTTCGGGGGCTGCTGAAGGCCCTCCATACCATCAACCCGGGCAGGAAGATTATTTTGCTAGGGGATCTGCTGTACCAGAAGGAAGGCTCGGGTTCGGGTTTTCCCGAGGCAACGATCACTGCTATCGCTTTACACAAAATATGGGTCGAGAGGTGTGAAGCTGCCTTTGAAAGGGGGCACATCTGGTGCAGGAGGGTGCTGCGTAACATTGCGGCGGCCTTCTACACTCATACGAGGGTTTACCAGCGGGCAAAGAAGGGAAGCAAACGGGCGGGAATCATGCTGGGGCCGGGGCAACGTTCTATCATGGAACGGTTGGATCCGGACAATTTTCATCTCATGAGTAGGGTATGTGACAGCTCGGCTAAATCGCTTGCGTGGACCAGTGGTTTCACCTCCATCTGGGCCAATCCGCGCACGATCTTCCGTCCCCCATAAGTTGTCATGATGGGTACGATAACATGCTGCTGTCCAGGCCCATCAGCTACAGTTACGACTGTTAATGCTTGTATGCGCTATTATAGTGTAACTTGCATTGCAAAATAAAAAAGGCGAACAAAGCGTAAAGGCGTGTCCAAAGTGAACGTCTGAGTTATGTCGGTAAATGTCAGCCCTTGGATCAACGGTTCCGACCGTCAGGATTCACCGACATCCCTCGACGTCGAGCTACGTGCAGCACTTTGGACACCCCATGAGTACTTTTTCTTGGAGGGGGGTAGTACAGTGAATATTTTGCTTCACAATTGATCACGTCGATGGTCTCAACATTCAGGTAATGATGGGTTGAATTGGGCCGAGGGGGAACCACATGCGACAGTTGGAGCCTGTGGTTCACGAAGTATCACGAACCCCGTACGACATTGCGACAAGTCGGCGATTGTCAAGTTGGTTGGTTGTCGTTCAGTCACAGATCAGCTCAAGCGTCACTGTCCGCTGATTGGCCCAGCACCGACTCGCACGCCGCTGTACACCCCATACACCACTGACGGCCACACGGCGCGATACGATTGGTCATCACGGCAGAAGCGATCATGGACAGCACGCATAAATATGTGACCCCACCCCTTCTCCTCCACCCGACCACAACCTTCAAACCCTTTCCCCGCCATTCCATTCTTCCATTCTCAGCTTCAGTCATTCTCATTCTTGAGAGAAACTGAACGAGTGCTGCTCCTGCTGTTCGCAGACTTGAGCTGAACAGCAGGAATAAATTCTGTGCCTGATTACACGGTCGTCTGAGAGTATCTTCGATTTTACGTCTGAACAACGTGTTGATTCTTTTTTTTTCCTGTGTATCGCGTCGCGTCGGAGCACTATGATTGAGTGTAGAGCCCCGACGGAGATCTGATTACCGTATAGAGCAGCGAGCGGCGAGGATGTCGTCGGCGGTGACGCACATCTACCTGCACGTCATCCAGGACGTCATTAAAAACGTGCGATCCGACTTCCAGAGCGACGGCGTCGATGAGAGCGTCCTCCAAGAGCTGCAGCAGGTGCGTCGCTCGTCGTAGGTCCGTCGCCTGTAGCAGGTGTGTCGCTCGCAACAGGTCCGTCGCTCACAGCAGGTCCGTCGCTCACAGAAGGTCCGGCGCTCGCAGCAGGTCCGTCTCTCCTGCGTTGAATTTCCCATCCTCCACATCTCGTCCGTTCACCGTGCATGCTGGATCCCGGTTCTTCGCCAACACAGCCTGTTTTCGAGCAGTGTTCGGCTGATCAGTGCGCGTTGATTCCCCTTTCAGCGCTACCGTTCCCCTATAGGTCCATCGCGTCTGCTCCCGTTTCCCCTCGCCCGCTGTTTTGACACCGTTTTTGGCACTACCGCGGCATGTACGCAGCTAACCTTGCTTTGCCTTCCTATGGCCCGCTTTTCTGACTTCAGTACAAAGCGTTTCCTGGCGGCTAACTTACCTGTCACCGCACCCCTCTTCGCCCACCGCAACCTCTCCCTACTTCCATTCCGCCGCTTCCCCTCTCCCTCTGCCCCACCCCCACCCTCACCCCCTCCCCCGCCCGCCTCCCGGTCAGCTATGGGAGACGAAGGTGATGCAGTCGGGCGCGGTCATCCCCGTCGGCGGGTATGCGCTACCGCCGCCTGCGCCGCCGTCCGCTGAGGCGGATGCAGCCCCGGGGGAGGCGGAGGAGGGCCCGCTAGGGGGCGCGGAGGGGGAAGCAGCGGCGGAAGAGGGCGTAGAAGAGGAGGAGGGTGGCGAGGGCGCGGGACACGGAGGGGGTTTCGCAGGGCATGATCTGAACATGCCTTATAACGGGGATGGCGGGGAGGCGGAGGACGAGCAGGCCCTGTCGCTGGGAGCATCCCACGCATCTGTAAGGCACCAGCTGGCAGCTGCCTGGTAAATACATCAACAACTTGGCTGGTATTTCAGGCTTTAACATGACTGTGTTTATGGTGATACACTGGTACTGGTTACACATACGCCATTTTAAATCGTGTGAATTTGTTTTTGGTGCTGTGCTCCCTGTGCCATCGCATCTACCAGCATGCACCCCGTCTCCCACACCTCTGCTGCGCCTCGCGTTTCGCTCCTCTCATTCCGTCCATGCTGTGCGTGCCCCTTCCCTCCCTGTTCTCCCACTGCACCGCAGTACTCTAGCGGCCATGTCACATCCAGTCTCGATGGCCGCCCACTGCCCTTCATGGTATGCCCCATGCACTACCCATCATGCACCTGCCATCCATCCTTCTTTGAGGCGCCTCAAAAATCGTTCTGCCACTGCACCGCAGTACTCTAGCGGCCACGTCACATCCAGTCTCGATGGCCGGCCACTGCCCTTCATGGTATGCCCCATGCACTACCCATCATGCACCTGCCATCCATCCTTCTCGTACCACGTCACACATGCACGCATCACACTGCGCGTTCAGCTGCACATGTCATCGGTCAATCCATCCGCGTGATTCCTGTGCCGCCCGCCCGCCTGTCCCCTGGCAGCCACGGCAGGAGGCGTGGGAGCAGAAGCCATTCATGGTCGACATGAACGCCGGTCAGTGCCGCCCCCCTGCTGCCTCACTGCCGCCCCCCTGCTGCCGCACTGCCGCCCCCCTGCTGCCTCACTGCCGCCCCCCTGCTGCCTCACTGCCGCCCCCATGCTGCGTCACTGCCGCACTGCCTTGCTGCCCCGCCTCCCCACAGCCCTGCCATGCTGCCCTGCTAGCGTTCCCGTCTGGCCCCACATGCACACACTGCCGTGCCAGTCCGTCCACTCACTGCATCTACCGATCCTGCCCGCCTTTGGAACATGCCACGCCTTACCTCTGCTGCTCCGTGTGTGACCGGCTGTGTGTGTGTGTGTGTGTGTGTGTGTGTGTGTGTGTGTGTGTGTGCGTGCGTGCGTGCGTGCGTGCGTGCGTGCGTGTGTGTGTGTGTGCGTGTGTGTGTGTGTGTGTGTGTGTGTGTGTGTGTGCGTGTGCGTGCGTGCGTGCATGCGTGCAGTGCCTGAGGAGGACACGTACGCTGATGCTGCTGCCTCGGACGAGCGCACACTGGTACGCCCTGGCCTGCATGTGTGCATGCTGCTAGCATGCATCTGTGCCTGTGCACGCTCTTGTGCATACATGGATGCATGTGTGCATGTGCGGGTGTGTGTGTTGGTGTAAGGGATGCATCAGTGGCATTACCAGTTTCAGGTTTCAGCGCACACATGTATGTGCCCACCTGCTCCCCCAGGCTGCATGTCCACTCTGCTCTATCAACCTTTGCAACCCGGGCCAGCTGTGTCCGAGGTGCCTCAATTTTAGTCCGCAGTTCCTCCTGCACTCGTGTGTGTGCACTGTGCTGTGCTGTGGGCGTGTGTTCCCAGGGCCTGCTGCCGGCAGAGCTGAAGCGCAAGCGAGCAGAGGAGGGGCAGGGCGGGTACGAGGAGGACGCAGGGATGGATGCAGCCGGGGGGGATACCAGCAGACCTCGCCTCACTCCCGAGTATGCCTTCCCTCAGGCTGACGGGGCCAGTGACAGCATGCCACGTGGCACCTCCCAGTGGGCCCACGACATGCTGAGTCAGCTGGAGCATCAGCATGGGGGGGGTGGAGGAGGAAGACGGGGAGAGGAGGGGAGTGGGGAGGGGAGCAGAGCGGATGGGGGAGTGGAGGGAGGGTCGGGAGATACAGGCGCAGTGGACGGGCGGGATGGGTGGGGAAGGCGGGTGCAACACGAGGCTGGGGGAGCGGAAGGGCGGGAAGCACGTGGTAGCAGGGGGGGCGGCAGGAGCGGCAAGGGGGGGAGGCAGTGGGTGGTGGAGAGGCGGTGCATGCCACAGGTGGATGGGCATGGTGACGAGGAGGATGGCGATGATGCCGATGAGGTGAGTGCCTCTCATCTCATTCCCCGCTTCTACCCCTCTCTCGTCCTTGCCCCTCTCTCCCGTTCCTCCTCTTTCCACTTCCATCCCTGCAAGCAATGCCTCGAGCTAGCAGTGACGTGCGGGTTTTTTCCAGGTTATTTCACCTATGCCCTGATTTCCTCGCTTCATGCCCGGCCACGTGGTTGCTGTTGCAGGGAGAGGAAGAGGAGGAGGAGGAGGGAGGGGCGGCAGGGGAGGCAGCGGAGGAGGAGGAAGAGGAGGAGGACTACAACGACCCGGCTGCCCGCACTGACACTGGTTGGCCTCATTGAGCCTTTCCCTCGGGCAGTTGCTCGTCCCTCTGTCAGTTCATGGCTTGCTTGTGTGCCTTGTCACCGCTTGTGTGCCTTGTCACCGCTTGTGTGCCTTGTCACCGCTTGTGTGCCTTGTCACCGCTTGTGTGCCTTGTCACCGTTTGTCGCTTGTCCCATGCCCATCGCCATGCCTCATTCGCGCCACTGCAACGCACACCATGTGCAACCTCATTCCCCCTCTCCGTGCACCATGTATGTCCATGGCTCTCTGGCTCTCTGTGTCTGTCCATGTGCGGTAGTCGCTGGCTGTCTCTGACTCTTTCCGATTCTATCCCACACGTGCGCTCCATGTGGTGTGTGTGTGTGGTGGGGGAGGGCAGCCAAGGAGGAGGAAGAGGAGGAGTTGGGTCCAGCGGACGACGACGAGTCGCTGGGGGCGGAGGATGACGACGATGATGACGACGATGGGCGGGGGGTCATAGGCGCCGACGAGGAGGGGCAGGACGGCAACATCGTGCTCGCCACCTATGAGAAGGTGCCATGGGGGAGGTGGTAGTGGGAAGGGGAGGAGTGGGGATGGGGAGGGGGAGAGGGGAGGAGGGGCAGCAGCAACTTGGTGCTAGTCACTTCTGAGGTGTGCCTGGGAAGGATGCGGGGATCCCGTAAGGGGGGGGGGGGGGGGGGGGGGGGGCGGCAGATCGTTGACCGTTTCTTGTTGATTCTCTAGGTCGAACATTCGCTGACGTGCTACCTTTGGATGTTGCGCCTCCACTTCTCGTGTGTCGTTTTCTATTGAATGTGCTTGGCGTGCTCACGTCCTTGTGTCTTCATGCAGGTGACTCGCCAGAAGAACCGGTGGAAGTGTCTACTGCGGCACGGAGTCATGAGCCTAAATGGCCGTGACATACTTTTCTTCAAAGCCAATGGGGAATTCGAGTTTTAGTCACTTCTTAATTCCTTGCATGTATTATGCAAAAGTTGCTCAGAGGACATTAAAGCATAGGACTTGTCCTTTCTTGAATCAGCAATTGTTTTATCTGTTGAAAGCCATATTACAGCTCATGAATTCTTACACTCGAATGGTCGTTACAAGCATACCCCTATATACCTGGGAAGCACTTCCCCTGATCTCTTCGGCTCCGCGCGTCAGATCCAGTGAACCCCCGCGAGGGCCGCCTGCCTTCCGCCAATCCTGCCTGCTTGGTCAACTTCCGTGCCCCCGTGACCCCACTACCCGCTCTTCGCGCTACTCGTTCCGCCAGCTCTGCCACACCAAAAACCTGAGCCTTCGCGTCAGTCGCTACCAACCAAGCAGCAGGTTAGGTCTTAGATATTATATCGTACTAAAGTTAGTAGTGCGCGGCGCAACCCAGTTTTTGCGGGATCATGTGACGTGCGTCTCTCATGTGGTCGCAATCACATTTCGTATCAGATTCGCAATCAAATTCAGATTCGTGCACTTGACGCATTGAGAACCGCTGCACGCGTCTTATTCTATTCGGCCGACTTCGCGTCGCGATAACCTAGACAGCTCCGCCTGTCACGGCCACGAAAACCCTCGACGCTTTCAGAGAACAGAAAACAGCAAGCAGCCGTATCACCAGCGGAGGTATTTTCGCCGTTAGGTCGACACCGACCAGAGTAGGCGAAGCGACGAGCGAGGCGATCGCAGCAGTCGCAGCGCCATGTCGCTGCCGTCGCAGTCGCACCTTTCGGGCAGCATGGAGCGCAAGCGCGTGGGGTCGGGGTCGTCGCTCGCGCCGTCCGCGGCGGCGGCGGCGCAGGCGCCGCTGGTGTGCCACGGGCACTCGCGGCCCATCGTGGAGATCGCGTACAGCCCGATCACCGACGACGGCTTCTTCCTTATCTCCGCCAGTAAAGGTGCGCGCGGCCCCCCATTCCCCCCCTCCCCACTTCCCGCTAGTAAAGGTCCGCTCCACCTTCTCTGCATTCTCCCTTCTTTTTTCTCCCGCGCCTCTCTCTCCGCGCGCGCGCGCGCGCGTAAGCGGTAAGTCCTCGCACTTGTCTCACGGCTGATCGTGGAAATCGCGTACAGCCCCGTCATCGACGACGGCTTCTTCCTCATTTCCGCCAGTAAGGGTGCGCGCGGCCCACCCCTCTCCCCCCGTCTTCCCTCTCCATCAGCGAAGGTCCGCTCGCTCTCCCACCTCCCCTTTCCCCCCGCCCTCTCTCTGTCTGGAATGATTTGCGCGGCCCCACCGCGCCCTGCCAGTACAGGTCCGCGCGCTCCCCTCGCTCTCTCTCTCCGCCAGTAAAGGTCCGCCACCCCTCTACTCCGCTCTCTCCGCGCGCGACGGCGAGTCCTCACATCACTCTTCTCCTCCCCCCCGATTCTCCTGCGCACTCGAACGGCAAACCTGCACACCGCATTAACCCTTCCCCACTCACACCCATCCCCCCGCGCGCGCAGACGGGAAGCCGATGATCCGCAACGGCGAGACGGGCGACTGGATTGGCACGTTCGAGGGGCACAAGGGCGCCGTGTGGGGCGCGTGCCTCGACCGCCCCGCGCTGCTCGCCGCCACCGCCTCCGCCGACTTCACCGCGTACGACGCGGGGAACCAGGGGGGAGGGGGAGGGGGGGTTGAGGCGGGGGATGGCGCAGGGCATTGGGGATTGGAAGGGTGGGGCGCTGCTCGCCGCCGCCGCCTCCGCCGGCTTCACTGCGTAGGGGGGAACTTGCGTGGCCTGGGGGGTGGGGCGGGCTGTGGGAAGCCGAAGTGAGGCTGTGGGTTGGAGGTCTGGGTGGGCAACAGCGAGAGTGGTAGAGACTGCTGTGACACACGACTGCCCACATACAGACCAGAATTTCCTCCTCCCCATCCCCCCTCACTCCCCATCCCCCCTCACTCCCCCCTTCCAATTCCTCCCCCGACTCCCGCCTATCTCCCTCCTTGCAAGCCAGTCCCCTCTATTACTTGCCTCGCTCTTACCCCTCATCACACTCCCCTCCCCATTCCTCTTTCCCCAATGCGCGCTTCGCTTCCGCCCCGCCGTCCATTCCCCACATGCGCGCATCTCCGCGTCTTCCTTCGCTCTCCCGCCCCCCTTCAGGCGCATATGGGACGCGTTGACGGGCGACGAGAAGCACAAGCTGGAGCACAAGCACATCGTGCGCACCGTGGACTTCTCAAACGTGAGTCCCCTGCTCGTCACCATTTCATTGCGCGTCTACCGTGAGTGCACGTCTGGTCGGCTCAAGCACAAGCACATTGTGCGCTGCACACCGTCGACTTGTCAACGGTCACTTCCCTTCTTGTCTCTGGCCTACCGTGAGTGAGTGCACCTCCGGGTTGGATCAACAAGCAGGTTGGAGCACAAGCAGGTTGGCGCACAAGCAGGTTGGTGCACAAGCAGGTTGGCGCACAAGAGCACATCGTGCGCACCGTCAACAACTCAAAGCTCACTTCCCTTTTCCGCTGCTGTGCTTGCGGTGCGGCCGCCTAGAAACACACGCCAATGTCACCTTGGGGTCTTTCCTCCTTGTCTTTGTTTCTCACTGCCTTCCATGCGCCCCTCTTCTCCCCCGTCCCTCATCTTCTCCCCCGTCCCTCATCTTCTCCCCCGTCCCTCATCTTCTTCCCCGTCTCCCCTCCCTCACTCTGCGTGCATCGCGTGCGCCTACCAGGACTCGCGGCAGCTATTGACGGGCGGGGCGGAGAAGGTGGTGAGAGTGTTCGACCTCGCCCGCCCCGACGCCGGCCCCACGCTGTCGCTGGAGGGCATGGCGGGGCCGGTGCGCTGCGCCAGGTGGCACAACGACGACCGCTGGATCCTCGTCACCTGCAATGACGTGGCGGGCGTCAAGTGAGTTGCAAGGGCGGGGGGGAGGGGGGGGAAGGAGGAGGGGAGTGAGCCCGTTACAGCTGTGTTGGGCTGGGTTGGGTAGGGCTGGGTTGGGTAGGACTGGGTTGGGTAGGACTGGGTTGAGTGTCTAGGGATGGTGGGCGGCAGCCCTGTGTGTGACCAGCGCCACCTCTCACCACACCATCCTCTCACCACACCACCCATCCCACCCTCCCCTCCCTCCCCCCACTGTGTTTGACCCGCGCAGCAGGGACGTGGCGGGTGGGCGTGATGGCAACAGACGGTGCATGCCTGAGCACGCACATGGACATCTCACACGCCACCTGCTCCCCCCATTACCAACTGCTCATCCTCCTCTCTCCCCTTCTCCCCACCCCCCGGTCTCCCCCCCTTCTCCCCCCCCCCCCCCCTCCTCGACCCCCCATCCTTGTTCTGTCCCCCCAGGGTGTTTGATGCGCGCAGCAAAGAGGTGGTGGGCGTGATGGCCACAGACGGTCCCTGTCTCAGCATGGACGTCTCACCTGCTGCTCATGCTGCCGCTGCTGCTGGGGCGGGGGGCAGCGCCTTCATAACCACGGCTGATGGCTCCACTGTCAAGATCTTCGACGCGAATTCGTAAGATCCCTTGCTGTGTGGTGACTCGTGTCGAGAGTCCACTCAAAAGTCGCCCCTGATGCTGGCAGTGCAGCAGGGGGCAGTAGGAAGCAGTTCATCACCACGGCTGATGGCTGATGGCTGATGGCTGATGGCTGATGGCTGATGGCTGATGGCTGATGGCTGATGGCTGATGGCTGATGGCTGATGGCTGATGGCTGATGGCTGATGGCTGATGGCTGATGGCTGATGGCTGATGGCTGATGGCTGATGGCTGATGGCTGATGGCTGATGGCGTCTCATCTTACCATCTCATCTTGCCATCCCGCCATGCCATCATGCCACCATGCCATGCCACCCCATGCTGCAGGTTGCAAGAGGTCAAGTCACATCGCTTGCCACATCAGGCTGAGTCAGCATCATATATCCCCTCAACCAATCGGTGCGTCTCATTTTTTCCACCCCTGATCTGTGCTGTGCGCTTGCATGCTTGTTTGCCATTCCTGGCTGCTCTCGCCCGTCCTCTTTTCACGTCCTCGTTCATTTCGAGTCAATTCAAAAGGATCCTTTGTGCATGCACCATGTTTCATGCGGTGCTTGCCCTTGTCTCGCTACCACTCCTTCCCCTATCTCACGACCTGTGTTGCAAGCCCTCTAGTCTCTTGAATACTCGCCTCTGCCCCAACGGCCCTGTGTGTGTGAGCATGGCAGGTTTGTGGCGGGGGGTGAGGACCTGTGGGTACGTGTCTTTGACTACGAGACGGGCCAACAGCTAGGTCAGTTTGCCATGCAATGCACCATGTATCGTGCATGAACCATGGTATGGTTCATTCACCATGCAATGCACCATATAATGTATCGTGTGAAAGAACCATAGCTTCCTCTTCTTTCGTCTCTGCTCTTTCTAGTCGTATGTGCAGGGGAAGTTCACTACATTCTCCCGCGCACACTAGAGACCTATCCCTTCTCTTCCCCTGTCCCCGCTCTCGCCTCTCTTACTTTGTCACCTCGTGACCTCCTACTTCTGAACCCTCCTAGATTTAAACTCTGTTTTGAACATTCCCCCCCTCTCTTCCCTCCTGAGTGTCACAAGGGCCATCACGGGCCAGTGCACTGCTTTCGTTCCTAACTTCGCCCTCCTCTCAACCCGCTCTTTCCAATTCCCCCCCCTCTCCCTCCTCCCCCCACCAGAGTGTCACAAGGGCCATCACGGCCCTGTGCACTGCATCCGCTTTGCTGCAAATGCGACTCAATACTTCCTTCCTCCCCATCCCCCTCCCTCTTCCCCCCCACCAGAGTGTCACAAGGGCCATCACGGCCCGGTGCATTGTATCCGCTTTGCCCCCGATGCACTCTCCTACGCATCGGGATCAGAAGACGGTACCATCCGCATCTGGAAGCTCGCCCCCGCTCCTGCCACCGCCGCCGCTTCCGCTCATGGTGCTGCTGCTGCTAGTGCTGCTGATGGCGCTGCTAGTGGTGCTGATGCTGCTGGTGCTGCTGGTGGGAAAGGGGAGGGTGGGGAGTGCAATGGAGTGAGTGGGGTGGTGAGGGTGGGGGCGACGGAGGAGGTGATAAAGAAGGTTGAGGGTTTTCATATAGCAGGCTCATGACCGCTGCAATTGTCCCTGCAATGATGTGCTCTTTCAAGGTGCATGCATTGATAATACTGCTCTTCTGATTCGGAATCAGTAATTCTCGCGTTGATCGGCACCAGATATGGAATCAGTGTTTTGTAACAGCCATTATCTCAGCCGTAGTTTCCGTTGCTGTAATGGCTGGGAAAATACAGGACATGTTTGTGGGGGGTATGAAAGGCGCGATTTCTGCGCAATTGACCATCTGGGAAGCCCCCTACCTCCCTTCAATCGACCATCCTCACTCCCCGCGCCGGCCGATGCATCGCTCTGCGCGTCTGCCGCTTTCCCGCGCAGCGACTGCGCGCGTCGTAGCGTCGCGCGTATCTGCGAGTCTGGGTTGCTGCCGCCTCCTCTGCCACGTCACGACGCTCCTTTCAGCGCCATTCCCGGCGGCAAAGGCGGTCACAGTCGCGCATTCCCGCGTATCCGCGTTTGCGCCCTCTCCGCTCCGCGCATCCCGCATTCCAAGCTTGCCGCTCCGATCGAATTCCTCGATATCCTCCAAAACATCTGGATTTCAAGCCACGTCATTCAAGTGCCCAGCCACGTCAGCCTCCTCCTCTTCTCCCTCTCCACACCAACCATCCGCGCCCAGTCCGCCCATGGCCGCGTCTCCGCTGCCCTCCTCCGCTCCGCCGCCCGAACCCGCCGCTCCGTCCGCGCCCTCTCCCAGCTCTCCCCTTCCCCCGCCCCCCACTCCCCGCGCGCCACTCTCTCTGCGCCTGTGGCGGGACGCGCGCAGCCAGCGCGTGGCGCAGGCGGCGGCGTACCATCCGTTCGTGCTGGCGCTGGGCGCGGGCACGCTTCCGCGGCGGCGCTTCGTGCGCTACTCGCTGCAGGACGCCTTCTTCCTGTCCGCCTTCGCCCACTCGTGAGTGACCCCTGCATGCGTGATCGAGTCGCGAGTGCCGCTAGCCCTTACCTGGATCCAACCGCGCCTGGTGGCTTGCTGCGCATCTCTTACATTGCATTGTCTGGCCGTGTCTGACTCACATTGCCTTCACTGCTTCGCATGCCACGGTATGGCGTGGTGTGGTGTGGCGTGGTGTGGCGTGGTGTGGCGTGGTGTGGTGGGATGGGGTGGCATGGAATGGGTAGGTACGGCGCGGCAGCGTCTCTACTGGATGGAGGCGAGGAGGACGGCACGGGGGGAGAGGAGGACGGCACGGGGGGAGAGGAGGACGGCACGGGGGGAGAGGAGGATGGCACGGGGGGAGAGGAGGATGGCACGGGGGGAGAGGAGGACGGCACGGGGGGAGAGGAGGATGGCACGGGGGGAGAGGAGGGAAAGGATGGGGCGGCGGAAGGCGAGGAGGAGTTGAGTGTGCGGGAGGTGCTGCAGCAACTGCAGAGGGAGGCCGATGGGGAGCTGCAGATGCATGCTGCTACTGTCAAGGTGGGTACGCCCTCTCTCTCACTGCTGTTGTGCTGTCAGGCTCGCTCATACCGACCCACACACACGCGCATACATGCACCCACACGTGCTCACTGCTGCCACGCTGCCATGCTGCAGGCACGCACACATGCTCACATGCACGCACACATGCTCACATGCACGCACACATGCTCACATGCACCCACACACAGCTCCTCCGACACGCACTGCACCCGCGCATATCATAGCCATGATGCCGCTCAGCGCTTTCCAGTCCAAAACTAACCTCTCCTTATTTCGTTCCCTCCTCTAACTCCATCACCCCACTCCGACATCTTATCTTACCGCCTCACACCAAACCACACCGCACCACACCACAACATGCCATGTGTGACAGGCATGGATCAAGGAATCAAGCGACTCGCAGGCTGCTGACATCAGCGCTGACGTCACGGCGGACAGTGCGCCCCTGCGTGCGACACTAGAGTACACAACCTTCCTCTCCCACGTGGTGGCGGGCACAAGGGGCGTGTGGGACTCCCATGGGCTGTGCTCACGGGACGAGCAGGGCGGGGGGACTTGTGAGCAAGGCCAGAGCAGCGCAGGGCAACGTGCGTGCAAGCAGGGGAATCACGACAACCATGTGCCTCACAGCAGCAGCAGCGGATCGGTCGACCCCTCACGGCCTGGCGACTGGATAGCTGATGGCGATCGCTCATCCCCCGCTGCGCGGCGGTGGCACACGCTGTGCGTGGTGGCGGCCATGCTGCCCTGCATGCGCCTCTACGCCTCCATCGGCCGCACCATGGGGGGGGCTGCCTGGGGGCTGCACGCTGCAACAGCGGGAAGAGTGGAGGGAGCGGAGGGGGCGGGGAGGGGAGGAGTGGGGGGAAGCGAAGTGGGGGGAAAGGGTGGGGCGGGTGTGTCGGAGGACGAGTGGCGGTGGCACCCGTATGGCCAGTGGCTACACACCTACTCGTGCCAGGGCTTTAAGGTGAGGTGAGCCCGGGAAGCTGTACTGCTCGTGTTGCCGTAATGGCTTCACTTTTGAGGATGTTCAAAGGTGCGCACATTCCATGGGGTATGCAATGACATGACATCCTAGTGTGCCATGCCACTCAACACCTGAGACTCCTCCTTCCCTTGTCTCCCTTCCCATGCTCCGTGTTGCAGGCAGCAGCAGCACTCCTCGAGTCGGCATTGGACCGCCTCTGGTCGCTCCTCCTGCGCTCCCTGCACCACTCGTGCCACCCCACGCCCCCTACCAAACTGCAGCAACAGCAGCAGCAGCTTGAGGCAGAGCAGCACCTATCACGGGTATACAGCAGAGCCATGCAGCTGGAGCTCTCCTTCTTCCACGCCCAGCTCGCTCCCTTCCCTGCCTCCCCACCACCGCCCCTGCCGCACCCGCACGCGTCCGAGGCCTCACCCTCCCTCCCTGCATGGCCGGGCTTTTTCCACCTTGCTTCCCAGGAAGGGACGAGGGTAGGGAGGGAGGCGTCAGGAGGAGGAGGGGAGGCGGGCAGTGGGCGCGCGACAGTAGAGACAACACAAAGATCACATGGCAGAGGGGGGAAAGCAGCAAGGGTGGTGTTTGCGACGGACTTTGACGGCACGTGCACCGTTGACGATTCCAGTGCCCTGCTCGCCCGCCTTGCCCTCGCCCACTCTGCTCCCTCCCATGCCGCTGCTGATTCTGCTGCTCCTGGTGGAGACAGTGGGGGCAACGGTGAATGTGGTGGCAGGCAGCAGGTATGGGACGACCTGGTGCAGCGATACATGCGGGACTATTCCGACTTCATGCACACCCATCTGCCACCCACTCATGCTCACACGGACAGCAGAAGCAGCAACAGCAACAGGCACAGCGACAGCAGCAGCAGCAAGCAGGGAGAGGATGAGAGCAGGGACAGCAGCAGCACCGCCGGCAGCACCACCGCCCACCTCCCCCCCGGCCTCCTCTCCTTCCTCCACCGCCTCTCCTCCTTTGAGGCTGCGGCCAATCAGCGAGTGACAGCTGTCGCCGCCCTACAGGGCATTCCGCGGGACGCCATGCTGGCAGCTGCCAGGGAGACTGCTGACGTGGCGGAGGGGGAAGGGGTGGGCGAGGGGCAGGGGAGCTTCAGGTCTGGGTGTGCACGAGTGCTGCGGCGAGTGGAGGGGGAGGGTGGCGTGGTGCAGGTGGTATCTGTGAGCTGGAGTGGGGCGTATGTGGGGGAGGCTGTGAGGCATGCCATGCGGATGGCAGGGGGGGAGAGGGGAGCGGCTGGGATGCAAGAAGACATGGGAGAAGGAAAGGTGCGGGAGACAGAGAGCGGGGAGAAGGCATGCAGTGGTGGGGGGGCAGAAGGTGGAGCAGGAGTGGGCAGCAGGGTGGTGGTGAGCGCGAATGAGATGGTGCTTGATGAGCATGCTGTGTCCACCGGTGCTGTGGATTTCCGTGTGCAGGGCGCCATGGATAAGGACGTTATCTTTCGTGCTCTCACCCATGGTGCAGTTTCGCACACCGGCGTAAAGCATGGCCCTGGAGTGCCAGCAGCAGCGGCATCATCAGGTGCAGCAGTATCAGCAGAGGAACCAGCATCAGCAGTAGCAAGCTTAGATGTGGCAGCAGCACCATCCGACCCAGAGTCAACCCCCTCCCCTCCCTCGCTGTTCATTGGAGACAGCACAACGGACCTGCTGCCGCTGCTGCGAGCACAGGTGGGTGTGGTGATGGCAGGAGGTGCATCCAGTCTAGACAGGGTCATTCAGGCCTTTGATATCCACCGCTTGCCGCTGGTGGCGCTGGCTTTGCTGCATGTGCAGCAAAGGACGGCGGGTGAGGCGAAGGTGAAGCGGGAGGGGTGTGCAGGTGTGAGTCCTGTGCTGGTGGTGCCGCGATGGACAGTATTTGATGCATGCAGCTGGGAGGAGCTTGAGGTTTTCCTCTTTGGTGCCCATCTCGCAGAATTTGACAACCACTGCTCTGCGCATGGTGCCCCTAATCACTAGAAAGCATTATTGTGGAGTAACTTAATTTATTTTAGCACTTTAACATCAGGGATTGGGAGCTTACAACACAATTATTCACAAGCAAAGCATCACAGTTTGGCGCAGCCAGGAGCTACCAGAAGCATGAAATACATCTGGTTGGAAGGAAACTGGGTAAGGGCAACAGATCAAATCAAATCAAACGAAATAAAGGGAAGAACGCATGCTGGTTGCCCCTGTGCCTGAGCTCGTGCCTGTGATGCTCGTGCGTACTGATTCAGCCTTGCCGTTGCTGGTCTGCGGCAGTCCTTGCCCTTGTCGGTGCTGCTTTAGTCAGTCTGCCTTGCAGCAGGACACATCTTTCTTCAACCTTCAAGAATCCGCTTGACCATTTGTTCCGCACTTGCAATTTCCCCGCGATTCACGGCGGATTAGTCGTCGTTATCTGCGCAGGATGGCGCGTTCGACGGTGTGAGCGGCCAGCACGGTGGACGCAGCGGCCTTCCAGAAATCCTGGAAGGCCACGTTGTGCTGGTGCCATCTGTTCTCGAGCTCCACGCGCGGCCCCCATTGCTTGAGCGACTGGCGCCACGACGACGTGCCGTTGACGGCGTGCTGCCATCCGCTCCTCGCCGCCACGTCCAGCGCGGGAACCACTGTCCCGCCGGCGAACTTGACGGCCTTGTCGCCCGCGTAGAAGGCGGCTGCGAGGAGAGAAAGACAGACAGGATGTAAGGCGACAGACGATGTAGCAGAATTCAAGTGCAAGTGCATTTGTTGAAAGAAAATGTACAAAGAAAGCGTAAATTCTGCTTGGCGTACCATCGCATGGCAATCTCGCCAAATCGCTGGCGGGGAGGCCAATCCCGACGCCGATGAGAGTGAGGCCAATGTTAAAGCCCACGCCGCAGCCCGCTCCCACGTATCCGACCACCTCGGGACCGAACCCCGGACCCCATCCCACGCCGCACCCCAAACCGACGCCGAAGCCCCAGAAAGCCCCGAGCGTCGGATGCACTGGGTTCCACCGCTTGTACTTCCGGTATAGATGAATAAGCGTCATACAGATAGCAGAATTTTACAAAATCTAAAAACGCGCACACCACAAAATCGAGTTTTGACAGGTTGACTTAGCTCTCAAACACCAATAACCAGAGAGAGAAAGCGACGGTCCTGAGCTTAGGTAGAATCAAGTCGGGTTCACACAGAGCAGCAGACTCCTTGGTATTGGTGTTTTCGGAGAGGTGGTGGTGCCAGCAGGGGAGAGGAGAGGAGAGTTCCTTTCCTCGGGCACGTCGCAGAGCTAGGAGAATCCGAGGGGCGACGACGCTGGGAGAGAGGAGTGTGGAGACGATGAGGATAGGGCCGACGAAGCACCAACGCCAAGAGGTTTCTCGTCACGGCTACTTGACGGAACGGGCTTGTTGGGTTTATTTGTGCGGGTCAAGTTGGATATCGGGGAGCTTGATTGGCTCCAAAGAAACAAAATTAACAGGAAGGGCAGATGAAACATTCACAGGGCTCTAGATGCTGGGTGAAATTCATTGCTTTCCGTTACGTCGTCAATTTCAACCGTCGAGAACACGTCCGTCAGAGGCTCACAACTGTCCTTCACCTGCGAGTGTGACAGTATTGTGTGCTGCGCTGGCAGAACATTCCTGCTGGCTGACTCCGCAACGCACAAATGTAACCAATGAAATAGCAGTTTCTGCCTCATCCGATACCGAGTGGCTGCTGATAGGGTGGAAGACGAATCCCAGTTGGACGACACCGCGAAAAGGTAGCGTCACGTGCCAAGCTGTGCCACGAAGGCATGTAGAATCTCCACGCTAAAAGGTCGAATCACACACGTTCTGCCTTTCACCCCATGCTTTTTTAGTTTCATGGACAGACCCCCTACATACTCTTGAAACACTTGTTGCACACAGGAATATTGGGCTGTTATAGAATCAACATTGTAGGCCTTCATCACTAAGTTGGACGCCAGTCAGAGTGGTACGAATGGTACTTGCATCGATGTGCCCACAGATGCTTCCAACAACGTGAGAATGTCATTCAAGGAGCAGCGACCATGTAGGCCGTACTGGATTCCTCACCTATGGGTGCATCCTCAAGAAAGATCGAAGTTGACGGAGTAGTGACGAAACGGCACAGAATGTTTCGCTTCGGTAGTTGACATTCACCAAGAGGACCTATGAAAGTCTAGGTCTATTTGAACTACTGGTAACTCATTGCTTCTACAGTAGTACGGTCACAAACAAAAGCCTTGGGATTAAAAATGTGTAATTTAGAACCTACGGTAGGCCAGCCACCAAACAGCACAAATGGCGGAGAGAAGGCAGGCACTCAAGAAGGTGAGGTAGGAGCAAAGATGAGGGCTGTGGTCGTCAAGTGGTTTGTGAATGCAGGAAGTGCGACAGGTGATGGGATAGTCAAATGGTAACAGCAATCCATGCAAGTGTAGTGTAGGGTGATGCTGATGATTAGAGCAACTGACAAACATGCAAGCAGAGGGTGGTGCTTCTTGAATGTGTGTTGATGAGGGCGCAGGGCATGACATGCAAACCTGGAATGCGAAAGTTGGTGATGCGATGCATGTGAAACCAACTTTCACATAGTGCAGAGGAATGGAGATGCAGCAACAATAGTGCAACAGACACATGCAACAGCACAGGCTGACAGACATGCAGACACATGGTACCAACCAACCACTGACACATGGCAAGGCAGGGTGCAGTGCAATGGCAGCATTAGCCTGCAATGTCAGGAAATGCAGGTAAAGGAGAGCAGAGAGAAATCACGAGGAGCTGAAGAATCATGTGGGCACACAAACAATTTCTGTCATTGCACATTCTGCAAACAAAATGCATTCACCCCTCCTCAACCTCCTCATTCCCCTCCTTACTACCTTCCTCTCTCCCCGCTCTCCCCTTTCACTTCTCCCTTCTCCCTCTCCCCGCTCCCCTCCTCCCTCTCCTATCCCCTCATCGCACTCACCTAACAACACATGCGTGATAGTGGGTCAATCGGAATCACTGGAGGAGCGAGAGCTGTTGGACCTGCCATGTCGTCATGTGGTTGTTAAGGGTGGGCGGAAAAAGAGTTTGGGGGTTGATGAGCAGGTCTGAATGAGTGGTTCAAATCTGCCATGCGATTTCTAAGGAGCAAGTAGGAAGGTGAGGGGATAAAAGGGGAACGGCGGAAGGTAAGGGCCCCGGGTAGCCCCATGCAATTCAGGAGAGAGCGCGAGATGGACTCATGGCCGGGGAACGGAGGGAAGAAATGGCCACGGTGCAGCCCATTGGTGCATGGCATGGGGACGATGTATAGCACAGCATGATGTAGAACAGCTTGACATATGCTTGGATGGCACAGGCCCATCGCATGGCGTGTGCCATGGCAACATGGCATGATTCAGCTTCAATATCACATTGCATTGTACCAACAGAGGTAAACTCCACCTCCAGTCGCTCCTCTCTGCCAGCCCAGCTTTCACCCCCAATTGAAAAAAGCCCCCAAGCAGATTCGCCCTCTCACCTCTGCTCTTGAGCTGCTGTCCACAGACCCTCACTCACAGCTCACCTGCTGGGGCTGCTCTTGGCTGGCCGCTTGCGAGGAGGCGACCTCTGCACACACAGGCAATGTTTCGGGGTGGAAGGCGGGGAAGGGATGAGGAGAGGAGCAGGGAAAGCAGTCCGTTCAAATGCTCAAACTTGAGCAACCTCCGTGTCTGCAGGCTGTCAGTAGAACACCCCCATTCCATGCACCCATCATGACCGTAATTCAAGAAAATCACGGCCCACACAGCACAGAACAGCCGCTTCTTGTCCGGCTCAACCATCTCCCTCACCACCCTCCTGCACTGCTGCAACACTCCCACCCCACGCCCGAGCAAGATTTGCCTCTCCTTCCCCCTCCTCCTCCCCTTTTTGACTCACCCTGCGCCGGTCGCCATCAGACGAGGAGGTGGCGGAGGAGGACGAGGGCGACTCTGAGCGTGGCCGCTTGGGGGGAGGCGAGCGATCCGGCCTGCATGCGGGACACAATCACTCGCAAGGAGCCACGCGATTGAGGAAAGACGAGGGAAAGCATAAGGACAGTGCAATTCTAGGATGGATCGACAATATAGGCGGAAGGACAGGGAGAGAGGAGACAAGGGATCGCACGAATGAGGAGTGCAGAGAGAAATGGGATGAGGCCAAAAAGAAGGGACTGGGCATGGGAAAGAGGTGGGGAGGGGGAGCACAAGAGTGGAGGAGTTGCGCGGTGGAGAAGCTAACCTGCGGCCGGGCGGTGGTGGGGGCAGGCGCTGGCGCCGAGAGGGCGGGGAGCGTGAGCGTGTGCGGGAGCGAGAGCGGCGGCGCATCGGGCCTGGGCTGGAGCGACGAGCGGGGGGCGAACGGCGAGGGGGGGAGGGCCGCCGCGTGGGGGAGGAGCGGCGGCGAGGTGGGGGCGACCTGGTATGGGGGAAAGAGGGGGGAGAGGGGGAAAGGGGAGGAGCAGATGAGGAAGTGACGTGAAGGTGCGTGTGTGGGTGAGTGGGTGCAGGCATACATGCATGGATATCCAGAACAGGAGGAGACGCGGGGTGGCGGGACGGAGGTGGAAAAAAGAAGAGAGATTGGGGTTGGCAGGTGGCGTAGAGGGGGAGGGGTTGGTGAAGCAACGGGATGGGGGAGGAGAAAAGGGAGTAGGTTTAGATCAAAGTGAGGAAAGCGAGGGAGGTGGTGAGAAGTGTGAGGAGGTTCGGATGGATGGGAGGGGAGAGTGGAGAGGGTGGGGCGGTTGTGGAGCATGGGGAGGGTGGGGCGGTTGTGGAGCATGGGGAGGGTGGGTGGTGAGGAGGATGGGGAGGGAGGATGGGGATGGCGGGTACCTGCGGCCGCGGAAGGGGATGGGGGAGCGGCGTCTGGGAGGGCTTCTCACACGGCGAGGAGGAGAGGTGCTGCGCTGCCTGCGAGGGGGGGAGCTGTTGGGTGGGGAGAGGCGGAAAGCAAGGCGCAAGACAAGCAGGGGGAAGAGGAGTTGCAGGGGGCGCACTGCGTGATCCAAGCTACATTGCTCACCCGCCAACCCAACGCCCGCCATTCCCCGACCCACTCAAGAATGGTCATCCCCTCCCCGCTGTATTGAGGTACATCGCTTCCCCCCACCTACCGCACGGGCGAGCGCCTCCTTCCCCCTCGGGGCGGGGACGGCGACCTTCCCCTTGCGCCGCCTGCTCGCGCGGGGGACCTCCGCCGCGGCGACACCCCCCTGCCTCCCCGTTCGCCCTCCCTGCCCCGCTCCGCCTCCCCGCCCCTGTCCCCCCTGTCCCTGTCGCTCGGCCTGTCGCGGTCCCTCACGTCCGCACGGCGTCGCGGGGGGGAGTCGATGGTGCGGCGAGAGGGGGGCGGTGGGGGGAGCGGTTCTGGGCGGCGCACGGGCTTTGGCGCGAGCACGAACTGCGCGCTCACCACACTGCCGTCGATTTGCGCCTGGGAGTGATGCGCGGGGGGCGGTGAGTGGTGGGTGGGAGGGGGGGTTGAGGGGGGAGCGGAAGAGAGGGAGAAGGGAAAGGAAAGAATCAGGATGGATGTGAAAGGATAATGGGGGATAGGAAGGGATGAGAGGACATGGATAGGGGTGCAGGATGGGAAACATCCATGGCGAAATGCAAGGCGCATCGTGACTCACCCCATCCATGTGCAGGCGCGCCTTCTCCGCATCGGCGCGCTTCTTAAACTCCACGTAGCCGTAGCCCTTGGGCAGGTTCACCTGCGACCAGAAACAGCCCCGCGCCCAGACACGACGCGGAAGGAACGGCGGCCGACACGCGAGAGGCGTTATGGAGGTGAGACGGGGAAGGAGCAGAGGCGGCAGGGAGACATCACGCACGGGAGAGCGAAGGAACGCGGAAGGAAAAGGGGGGGAAGGAGGAGGAAAGGATGGGGGGAAGAAGGAGAGGGAGGGAAAACAGCGGGGAGAAGGCGAGCGCGACTCACGACACGGTCCATGGCGATCTCGACTTTGCTTAGCTCGCCGTACAGCCCTGCACGCACGCTCGCATCACATACGCACACACACAGGGGTCAGGAGTGTTAGAGGGCCCTACGACAGGGGTCAGGAGAGCCACGGACGACGTACAATGACATGGGTTCAAACGGACGAAATGAGTAACGGCATGATGTGCGTAACGATATCTGAAAGGGGTTACTGCTGCCGCGGGCTCACCGAATATCTCGCGCAGGTGGTCCTGGTTGACGTTGCGCGTGAGGCAGCCCACGTACAGCATCGTCGTCTCGGGCGTCGCCGACCGCTTCCTGCCGCCATGCGCGGGGATGGGTGCGGGGATGGGTGCGGGGATGGGTGCGGGGATGGGTGCGGGGATGGGTGCGGGGAACGGGGATGGGTGGGGCGTCGTTGCATGCGCATGAGCAGAGAGGGAGGGAGGAACACATTGCACGTGTCGAGGACCTAGGGAGTGACGACGCGCGCAAGAGGACTGAACGAGCGCAAGGATACTCGAGGAGCGCAAGCGGCTATGCTAACACACACCTGTCATTGGGCGACGGGCTTCGCTTCTTCTTTTGCGATTCTGTCGTCGGCCTCGCACTGCACGACAACGATTCGCGCGCGCACGATACACGATCGCACACACTTGGTAATCAGATACAGTGACCCACCCAAATACTCAATCCCGAGCCTCCTAAGTTAAGCTGAACAAAACACGCTACGCTTAACGATCCGGTAATGGGATAGAGGATAATGAAGAGGCCGTGACTAGCAATCAACGGCCACCAAACAACCCGGGAATAAGGGACGGGATAATAAACAGAACCAGAGAAGATGTGCGGCGATTTAAGGGTGCACGCACCCTTTCTTAGGCGGCGGGCTGCGGCTTCTGGACGAGGCTGAGTCGGAGCGAGAGGGCGACGCGGAGGAGCGCGAGCGAGACGACCCAGAGTAGGAGGAGGAGGGCGACTTGGACTTTGATTTCGATTTCGAGTCGGAGCCCGACTCCGACGACGACTGCTTCGCCATGGCTCCGATAGCTTGAAATAAAGCGCGATGTAGTTGATCGGAGCAGTAACCTGCTCAGCCTAGCAGCAACGCGATGCAGTTACAGACATCACCACCTAAGAAACTATGGAGTATCTAGTAACTGACGGTTGTACGGTGAAAATTATGGAATCCACGAACAGGCCACCCTGTTCTGGCGATCTGGAGGGACTTCGAAGTAGAGGGCCGTCCGGAATCCTCTACTAGGTCACCTCCAATTCCATGAAACATGTCACCCAAAACATATACGTAAATGTACTACTTTCGAGTCTATTCACTAACTTTACAACGTAAATGAAAGTACAGATGGATTTAGGCAGACGACTACAAAGAGGGGCAGTCTCATGTGCATAAGCTTTGTGGTAGGCGCTGCTTTTGCTGCTAGTTGACCAATCACAAAAATGTACAACTACCGTAACTGGAAACCCCACAAGAGCTTTGTGCAATTTTGAACAAAGCAGGTGATACAGTGACAAGGAGACAAGCCAGTGCGCAAAGCTAGACAGAGTACTTATCCGAGGCTGACCTTGACCCTTTCTGGTCCGCCTGCACAGGCAAAGATAACACGTCAGAAAACAATAGGCATTTCTCCTCCTAAAATTGTCATGAAGCAGCAGAAGCAGCAAGCAAAGGAGCAGCATCGCTCCCATAGTCCGCACAGCCAAACTTACAAAAGAGGAGAACCCGATTTGCTCCGTTATGCCCAGAATCTCCTTCAGTTGCTTGCCAATGCTCGTCTGCAGCACCCAGGATCAGTGGGAAATACAAGATCGCCAGAACTCTCAGAAAAATCATCACATGCCAGATTGAAAGCCCACAGCAGTCGAACCGAAGCTGAAGTGCAAGCATGGAAGCTTGAGGCGTACCTGAATGGATTCGCTGGCAGCCGATTTAGTCCAGAGCGCCACTCTGTCCTTGTTTGGTCGGATGCTCACCACGGCGCCACAGATGTCGTTGCCCTCGTCGATCTGCTCGCCAATCATCGCCAGCATCTGCGTTGCCGCACATTGGGGGTGGGAGAAGAATTTAATGATTGGAAAGGCAATCATGGGACGAGGTCATCACGCATAAGGACTAGTGGCGCATGGTAACACAGACGGACAGGGCGCGACTCTACTGCTTGATCTATACACTTAAGACTAGCCAAGGCATAACCAGATAGTCAATTTGTGGGGGGGAAGGGGGGGTGGGAGGGAAACAGGGGGGAGGGAAGATGGGGGGAGGGAAGATGGGGGGAGGGAAGATGGGGAGGGAGAGAGGGGTAATCAGGCATTCACGGATGTCTCACCAAGTGCAGCCACATGTTATCGAGGTATTCCTTGCTGCGCGAGCACGGGATGGTCCAGGAGCCGCCCTTCTCGCACTTGGGGTCCTCCCACTTAGGTTGAATGCCCTCCTTGAACAGGTGCATGTCCGCCTTGTTCATCAGCTTGCTCGGCTGCACTATGTTGTTGTATAAACTGACCGAAAAAAATATATATATATACGGCAAGACGGCGAAAACGGGGGTTGGCGACGGGAATCGTGAGGTGACAGGGATTACGAATTGGCGGAACGTCCAGAGCACTCCCTTAGGAGTCAAATCACCAGGAGACAAATCGCTTAGAATGGATTGCTTTAGAGACAGTTTGACATAATCGTACAGACGCGAGGCGATACAAGCGAGTGAACGACACGTTGAGCCACGCACCACCAGAAGTCCTCAACGGTCCCGAAGGTGAAGATCACGCGGAGCGAGCTTCCCCACGAGCCACCGCTTTTCCCGCGTTGTTGCGGATTGTCGAACCAGAGCGTCCAGCGGTGCTCCAACGGATGCTTCACCAGCGTTTCGCTCTCCTTCGCCGCTGCTCCTGTCTCCGTCTTCTCCGCCGCTGCTGTGTTCGTCTCTGTTTCGGTCTGATCTATAGCCGCCATGTCTTGAACGACAAAACAATCGGACGAAATGGAAATGGAAGTGCTAGAGGTTTATTTATCAAAACCCTGTTCCTTCTACGTCAGCAACACGCAGAGACTGCAGATACCAGTCCAACTTCACTGCAAAATATAGTTGCTTGTCACATATACTTCCCCGTTGGCCTTATTCCAGCAAACATGCAGTGACTAGGACAAGAAGAGAAGCGATTAGAGACCCCGCTGATATCACAGCGCAAGTGACGCTGCGGGAGGGAGGGAGGTGGATGGAACAAAGCGAGAGGGAAATATAGGATGTGTGGTGGCGATGGAATCGAGAAGGGAGCTGAACAGCTTAGTAAACTTCAACTCTCTACAGTGCATTGTACAACGCATGTGGTTAGCAGATTAAATCTATCAGGAAAAATTCCATCAGATGGGCCATTCACCATACTTAGGGTACATTCCGCTGTGGACACATGTCCCAATCGATGTGTCCCAATCGTTTCTACCGCACTGCATCGTATTACACCAAATTGCACCCTAGTTTCGAAATTTTCGCGTCTCTGGTTTAGTTCGGTTCGGAGCGGTACACTCGATTGAAACACATCGATTGGGACATGTGTCCACAGCGGAATGTTCCCTTAGTGTCCCACTCACCTATACATAGAAATTGAAAGCCACAAAATATACATCTGAATAAGCCAGACTGTCAAGCCCACAACCTGTACAAAAGCATGCCAACTCACTTCCTAATGTGATACAAGGCGTGGCGCATGAACCTTTGGGGATCATGTGACAGGGCTCTAAAGAGAAGAATCAACACGGGGTCGCACTGAGCGGCCCTCTCAATCAACTCATCCTGTTCGTCTTCAGACAATGCCAGCACCCGTGGTTCTTCCTCCCTCTTCACTTCCTCTCCAGTTCCTCCCTGCCTCGTTTCCCCTGGATCCATCCCTTCTCCCCTTCGTCCATCCTGCTCTGATTTACTGGATGCCGAGAAGCGGGAAAAAGAAGCTTTTATTGGGGCTGGTATGAATGTCGCCTGACTGGCTGTCTCAAGAGCATGGACGCTGTCATTGGAGGGCCCATGAGCAACTGGGCCTGACCTTGCTGCACTGCCACCTTCGGGTGCTGAACCTGCTGCTGTTGCTCCTTCCGCTGCTGTTGCTGCTGCTGCAGCAGCTGATGGTGCTGCTGAAGAAGCTTGTGGTTGTGCTGGGTTAGCCACCAATGGGGAGGAGGAGGAAGCGGCATCTGAACGAGGAGATGCCATAGACAACGCTGCAGAGGTGGCTACTATGGCTTGAATCATGGCAACAGCTATGTCAGAATCACTCAACCTCTGTCCTCCTCCCTGCTCCTCCCTACAGCTGCTATCACCAACAGCAGAGGCAGGTGTTGCCATCCCTGGTCTCATCCCCATTCGCTGGACGAGTGCTGCTGCTGCTGGTGCTGGTGGTGCTGGTGGTGGTGGTGGTGGTTGTGGTGGTTGTGCTGTTGCAAGTGGTGTGCCTACTGCAGTTGGCAACGTTCCTGGTGATTGTGTTGCGGCTGTTGGTGTTACTGCTGCAGCTGCTGGAGTGCTTGGTGCTGATGGGGATAGCAGTCTCGCCATCCTTGGGCTTGCATTTCCTGCAGCAGCAGCTGCACCATTGGCTGCCACTTGGCCTTGCACCATTGGCTGCGCTGAAGCCTGCATGCCCCCATTTCTTTCTGCTAACACTGCTAGCTCTTCACTCTGCTGTGCCCAGCCACTGCTGCCACCGTTGCTCTCACCCCTCACAAAATCATCTCCAATGCTCCCAACTCCTAGATCGGCCCAACTACTCCGTTTACCAGTGCTCACTCCATCACTTGTGCTGCCACCGCTACTGCAGCTGCTAGTGCTGCTGCTACTGCTGACGCTGCTGACTGCAATCGGAGTCTCGCTATCGCTACCACCAACCTTCCCTTCAAAATCAGCACCAGAAGCTGTGGCCTTGCTACCTGCACCCCGAGCTGCACCTGCAGAGCCTGCTGCTGCAGTGGGCGAGGGCATGGTCTTGGCAGCACGGGAGGGCAGGCAGTGCAGGGAGGCGGGGGTGCGCGACCAGATGACAAAGCCAAAGTCCGGGATCAGCGCCAGGTCCTTGGCCAGCCGCAGAGGCTCCTGGGAGGGAGAGGGACAGCAACGGTTATGTACTGTTTGAGTTGAGAGTTGTCAAATATAAGAGCTAGGTCCTTGGCCAGGTGGAGTTCTTCAAGGGAAGCAGCAGCGTGGAATAGCGGACGAGCAGGGAGCGAAGGAGGCAGGACAGAAACTGAATTTGAAGGAATGGAGCACGAAGAAATTGAGAAATTTTGAAGAATGTGAGTTTTGATAGTTCTTCAACACAAAATTACAAACACTATGTGTGGAGCTGGGAGGTGCGAATTGAGGCACTAACCACGAAATCCCCAGAGTTGGGAATCCAGAGCGCAAGCTGCTGCACCTCACTGGCACCTGCAAGCCCGTTTGCCAACGCTATCTTGGTGCGCACTGCGTTCTGGCGCAGTGGAGGCGAGGAGTGGCAGGGGGAGAAGGGGTGATGCGAGGCGCAGGGGAATTAAGATGGAAACTATAAAGAAAGCATCTCATGCCGGTTGGCCTCTGCTTTCATAGTAGAAGTAAAACGGTTGGTGAGAGTAACAATAGCACACAAAACATTTGAGGTGAAGTGGCAGTTAGGGGAGGGGCAAGACTGACGAGGGAGGGCACGCGGATGGTGATGGACTTCATGCTGCCGTTAGGCGCATCGTACGCCTCCAGGTCCCACTCTATGCTGCGAAACGTCTTGCCAAACACCAGCGTGCGCCAGTACAGCGCCACCTGCAGGGCGCCAGTGGCCACACAGGGAGGACAGAGAAGCCAGTGGGAATGGGGCGACTCTGAATGCAACACAAGCGTCTCACAAAGCAGCGAGCAAGTGCAAAATCAGAGTTTTCAAGAATCTCAATCGACGCGGAGAGCAATGGTGGAGAAGCCCAGCCCTGCCATGAGGAGAAGGGGTGGAACGTGAGGAGAAGGGTAGGCGCACCAGGCTAGCGCCTCCAAAGGAGCGCCAGAGAGCGTCCATCTGCGGCACCACTGCCACCGCCACTGGCGCCGCTGCTGCTGTCTTGGCTGCGAAGCCCAGCCCTGCCATGCCAAACACCGTGCCTGCTGCACTGGCAGCTGGGCCGAACAGCATCCACCTGGTGGCATGCGCGGGAGGAGCATGGGTGGTTAAGGACAACGTCGCAAAAGAGAGTAATTAATGGCTGGGGGAGTGAACATGCTGCTGTTTGTGGTGATCATACTCCCCCATAAACCTCATGACCACTACTCACACACTACGACAGATCATACAACCTCACCACACCTCTCCCAACCTCAAGACACCCCCAGCCTCACCACACCCCTCCCAATCTCGCCACACCCCGGCCAGTCTCACCAGGGTTCCTTCTCCACGACAGCAGGCTGTGGCGCCATGGCTTTAAGCCACTCCTGCACGTTCACATACACAAACGCGCCCGCCGCAATAGGCAGCACCGTCAGCACCACCATCGTTGCCACCTCCACCACTGTGCTCTGCGTCGCCGCCTCCACCACTCCTGCCCGCCACCGCCGCAGCCTCTCCTCAGTCCGCGCCTTGCTGCTCATCCCCTCCTCCCCTTCCGCCTCCTCCTTCCGCCCTCGTCTCCGCTTCCTGATCCTTCTCCCCCGCGCGTCCACCTTCCACCTCCCCCCGCCCGCCTCCTGCTGGCGCTGTTCCTCGCGCGCCAGAAGCGCCTCGCGCGCGTATTCGTTATAGAGTCGCGAGAGCTGCGGGTCCTGGCTGACGGCCTGGCGCAGCTCCCCCCACTCCTCCTCCAGGGACGAGCCCTCGATTCCCCCGCGCGACACCTCCTGCAGCAGCGCCATCTCCACCACTGCGCGCTCTAGAACCTTCCGCTCCGCGCTCCCCGCGTCCGCGCTCGAGGGTGGGGAAGAAGACGGAGAAGGAGACGGGGAAGACGACGGGGAAGGAGAGGACAAAGTAACGCGCGAAGCGGGAGAAGCGAGGGAGGAAGATTGCTGACTGGCAGGATTGTCTTGGTACTGCTTACTCCAATTCTCTAAGAACTGACTCGATAAGGACTGACACCTTGCATCAGTGAACCCTAAGGTCGTACTTTCCCCACTGTTATTGTCACTCCCGACACTGTTACCCATGGCGCTACTGCTGCCGCCACTGCCAAGTCCGTTGCTCTCCGTATTATAGGCCAAATTTGAAGTACTTTTGCGCTCTAGCCTGCTCGATGCACTCGCCGTGGTCAGATCCTCACTTCTCCGACGCGCGCGCTCCTCTCGTCCGCCAACCCAATCCGCCGTTCCACTTCCGCCATCTCTCCACTCTTCCCCCCACTCCGCAGGTCTCCGCGAATTTGTAGCAGAAGCGACGCCTAGTCCGAGCAGCGACAGCAGGTTTTCCAGTGCCTGCAGCTGCTCCTGCAGCTGCTCCTGAAGCTGCTCCCGAAACCTCACGCCGTCCCCGGCTGGTACGGCAACCCCAACACCACCTTCCATCTCCCTAATTGCCTCTCTCACTACTGGTACCGCATCACCAGGCGCTGCAGCAATCACCGCTGCTTCGCTCGTCCCGGCGACCGCTGCTTCCGCCTCGCCAAGGCTCTTCTCCCCGCTGCTGCTTGACGCGACAGATGCTTGATACGATTTTACGCTGCCAACAACGTCGACGTCTGTTGCGCTGGCGGAACGCGGGGTTAGTGGCTCCTCTGACCTATTGGTCAATGCTGAGGCTCTAAATGACCCAGCTTCTCGCTGTGGTTCGGACTGATGCGCCGAGGACCAGTCGTTCGCCAGCGATGATTGCGAAGACTGCGACGTCTCGAGCGAGCTTTCGCGAATTGCGACCGACTGCGACGAGACATCGTTGTGAGGAATCTCAAGACGCTCGGTACCGCCGGCTGACGGCTGGTTGGCCTCTGGCATGGGAGCTCCATGGTTACTGACGTCCGGATGCTGTAATTCCGCAGCTCCAGACACATCTCCGGCTTGCTGTTCTGAAGACGCCACATCAGCGGGGGGTGCGGGGTGATCGGTTGGTGAGTCGCCGATCAGTTCGGGACTCAACGGCTCTGCGATCTCGTCGAAATTCCTCGACCTGCATACTGAAAGCGGCGATGGCCGAAAACTTATAAGCGAGATTCGCGCATCTACAGGTGCTGGAGTTCGGGAAATGTGTAGCTTCTTGCTTGAGACGTGGCGTGAATGTCTAACGGAGGCTCGAACGGCAACTCTGACACGGGATGTGGATAGGTATGAAAGATGAGCGGACAATGCGACCACCGGAGCCATCAGGCAACAGAGATTGAAAGACCTAGTAGACCTAGTAGAACCTGTTCATCCTCACTGACATGACCTAGTAGATGACGTCAATAAGTTAGTACTAGAGCACACGACGTCAACTTCACACGAATGAAGAAATGGGCTTGTCGATAGAATTCTATACAAGGAGTGTAGGGTGGAGGTATTGCTTCACTTTCATCTTGGCTTGGATTGGAATCTGGACGGGAGTTGAAGGGGTGGGGGGGGTTTGTCGAGTCACGAGTGTCAGAATGGAAGCCGAGTGATGCAATGTCAAAGAGAAGAAAACTTGCAAAAATGTGCATTTTAGTTTTAGTTGGCGAATCGATATTGTCTCAAATCTGTTACTTGAAAACGCGTACACAGTGTTTTGTTCAGCTGGCGGTTCTTGTTCGGCCTTCAAGCTGAAGCAAGCTCGTGCTGCTGGCGTCAGCCTTGAGGGTGTCGAATTTGCCTCGCAAGTCCTCGCTACAAGGAACTTCACCTAACTGCTGCTGCGACCAGCTGGGCCAACGTCAGCAGCAACAGACGGAGTCACGAACGGAAACCGTGACGTTTTCATTCTGTAATTGCCGTTTTCTGTTTCACCCATAACCTGCGCCAGAAGCTCAGTTGACCAGCACTTCACGCGATTCGGAACGCCAGAGCCAGATCTGCGATGCCACGTCAGACCAGCTGGCGACTTGACGTGGGGTTGGGATGCAGGCATTGGGATGGTCGCTAAGGCTACCGGACCGCGTGCATGTCTGCTTCCTCCCAACTTCACCAGCTGTTGTGAACCATTCTCACCATCACCCTGAACTTTACCCATGGCTGCCTTTATGGCGGCTAAGTTTCTAGATTCCAAGCAGAAATTTGATGGCGACGCTGGCCTCCGTCTTTTCGGTATGCTCTTAGGTGCCACTTTTGCCGTTACCTCAAGCTTGGCTCTTTGTGTCTCGCGTATACATGCACTGAAGCTACCGTCAGTTTCTACTAGATGCGATTGGTGCGATGGTGCTTTACGGGTTCCCTTCGTTTGCGAGCAGGTCCTTATGCAAGGCAAGCTGCTCCCTAGCGTTTGTCGCGGAAATAGCCCTTATTCATCTCCTTCCATCTCATCAGTGCCTCATCGGAATATATTGATAATACAAGCCATCCTTTTGATCTTTCGCAGCTCTGTCGTCGAATACGATTAGAGGTGGCTGCTGAATGGTCACTATTCAAGGAGAAGTGGTCGATTATTGCATCTGGTATCCTTTTTCAGGCACGTCTCTCGTAGTCCTTGATTACCGTTGCTTAAAAAGAGAGGGCATCATTGACCTTGCGTTTTTGCTCAACTGCAGTTTGTTCACGGTTTCTTAACTCGAACAGCTCACTTTCTCCACACTCCTCGTCCTTCGTTACATGATGTCGGGTTCGAACTTGTCCCTGTGAGCGCCTCCTTCGTTAACCTCTGCCTTTCACATAAATATCTTTTGTATCTCGATATGTCATGGCGTTACTCGAATTTGCTTGGTGCTGAAGTACTCACGTGCTTTTTGACAGGAAATCGGTCCTGAGTATTTCTTCACCAGTGAATACCTCTTTTTCGCCATATTCATTCCTTGCTGCATTGTAAGCATTTAGGGTGGACTGCACTGACTCAGTCCGATTGCTTTCTCTACTGCTAAGCGTTCTTGTATCCTGATTTTTTCATGATAAGATGTGCTGCTTCGGCATCGTCTAACTCTTTCTCTCTTCGTGTCTCAGTGGACATTCCATCCCTTCGTGTGCACCAAGAAGCAATTTTACACTGTGCTTGTGTGGTGCAAAATCCTGACGGTATTTGTGGTAAGAGGCTAGCTTAAGGTCTCCTTGTCTTGGCTTGAGTGTCTAATAGTGATTGGTAATGTTTACTGAGGATAAAACGGGTGCCTTGACAGATGTGTCAGACTTTTCGAGTTCTGTCCTTCACTGCAACACAACTACCTGGTCCTGCACATCATTGTAGACAGGTATGCTAACATCAGTTCTCATTTTCTCTCTCCTTCAGAGCTCAGTTTCTGTGTAACACTTCTGGTCTTTATGAACGTGCAGGGATCTCCCACAGCTATCCTCAAATACACTGGACTCCAGGACGTGCTGTACCTTAATGGTGGGCGAAGCATTGTTATAGGCATGCCTTGAGCAGAGCGGATTTTCAATATGTCGCTTTTCAGTTATCAGTTTGTAACCAGTATCATATTGCTGTACCGGTGGTTGCCGCAGCCATGCATGGGTGTGGTGACCTCATCTTTTCCTCCCACATGACATTCATCCTTACTGTTGTCATCACCTACTCGAGATATGGAACCAATCTGTGAGTTCCTACATTCACCAGAATGCATTGTGTTATTTTGCTAGATGAGTTTGTATGTCTGATGACATCTTGTGAGCCTGCGTCTTGCTTGCCTTGTCTTTATCGCTGCCTTTTCAGCTTCTTCAAGCATCTGTCATGGTTGTTATCTGGAGTTATGTCAGTTTTGATAATTGCTTCACGCAAGCACTACACTGTGGACGTTGTCATTGCATGGTAAGAACCAAAAGATTCTGGGACAGTATGTTTGTTTGTTATGTCTCTTGAGCTGACAGATCCTCCATATGTCCATTCCCAGGTACGTTGTACCTCTGGTCTACTACTTCGTTGAGCACAAGCTGGAGGACAACGGTATGAGCACAGTTCCCTGAATTGTTGTTGTTCAGTACATAGTGGCCCAACGGCTATTAACCTGTGTGTTAATGGATCATCCTGGACTCTTTGCAGTTGGCCCAAGAGATCTGCTTGAGCATAGCCTTTGTGACAAGATCCTACCACTCCACTCCTCGCCCTTCCACTTGTCATTGCAATTGGAAACCTCTTTTGAAGCTCAAGCATCCAATCACCATGCTTATACACTTGATCAAAGCTTTTTTATCCGATTATTTCATTACCTGGAGTACGTTTGGAGAAGATTGCAAGCCTCTATTGTCAGAGTATGCACTGACTCGCCTGATGAGGTATGCCAACTCCACCATGTTTCTTCTACTGTTGGCCCTTTGTTGCTGGTGGTTCCTAAAGAAGATTTCTTTTTGTGTCTTGCGTGCAGGAATGTGGTAGTTTAAAAGCCAGTTTGTATGGGGTTGATGTGAGATGAGAGCAGGCATTAAGAAAACCTGAACTGACTGCTAACCAGTCAGGTTGTATTCAAACTTCAATAGTGAGCTGGTTATAAATGTGAGCATAGCTAGCTCGGGAAAGGTGTGTGGGCTTCAGTCCTTCCAAACTGTACCTGGTAGCACCTGTTACCAGTTCTTAGTCGGGAGAGGGACAGAGATGTTGGCCAAAGGTACACGGAGACTGTCAAATGTACAATTTGCTCTGTCACATGGGTGGGAAAGCGGTTGAGAGTACATGCAGTAGGTGAGAAGCAGGTGGACAAGCGTGAATGTTGAGAACACAAGGGCTGAGTGAAGGAACTAGAGTAGCAAGTGGGTTGTGAATGATTTTTTTTATGACCCATAGTATACACATACATAGGTGTATGCAATCATTCATGCAATACAGGTTTTGATTCCTGAAACAAATGGCTGACTGGAGCTCACTGACTGGAGCTCACTGACTGGAGCTCCTTGACTGGAGCTCACTGACTAGAGCTCACTGACACGGCCGCAAACAGAGCGCCGAGTTGTTGTGTGGTACTTTGAAAGGACGTGGAGAAATCAAGAAGCAGCCAGAATTCAAACACAGAACGACAAGGGACAAGGCAAAAATGACGAGGACACAAAGGAAATACAACCGCAACAACATGAAAATGACAAGCAAATTAGAGACTTACAGGAGGTAAGGAGGGAGAACTTCCCTGATCCTCCAGTTCCTATTGCCCCTCACTCCCCCTCCGCGCATGAGTGCATGCGGTGGTGAGCAGCGGTCAGCAGGGCACGCAGTGAGTCCCGGCCATTAGTCATCCCACTGCTGCCCCTCCATGCGTCTCCTCCCCCTGCTGCCTCCACGCCCTCTGCACTGCACGAGACGAGACCACACACAGTGAGTGCACCACGACAAGCAATCAGGCCGTGCAGCGGACAGAGCAGCCAGCAGCAATAGACAGAAGCAAAGGAGAGAGTGGACGAAGTGAAATGGAGAAGTGGGGGATAGAACCGGTGAAATGACACCCAGAGCGGGTGCACTCCCCCTGTTGTTATGGCGGGGCGCTTCTGCTCTGGGGGCTGTGAGATAGAGGCGCCCCTGCTCTGGGGGGCTTTGAGGGAGAGGCGCCCCTGCTCTGGGGGGTTGTGAGGAGGAGGCGCCTCTGCTCTGGGGGGGTTGTGAGGAGGAGGCGCCTCTGCTCTGGGGGGCTTATGCTGATGCTGATGCTGTTGCTGATGCTGATGCTGATGCTGATGCTGATGCTGTTGCTGATGCTGATGCGGATATTGATTCTGATGCTGATTCTGATGCTGATTCTGATGCTGATGCTGATTCTGATGCTGATTCTGATCCTCCTGATGCTGATGCTGATGCTGATGCTGATGCTTATGCTGATGCTGATGCTGATGCTTATGCTGATGCTGATGCTGATGCTGATGCTGATGCTGATTCTGATGCTGATTCTGATGCTGATGCTGATGCTGATGCTGATACTGATGCCGAATCGGATGCCGATGCCGATGCCGATGCTGTTGCTGATGCTGATGCTGATTCGGATGCAGATTCTGATGCTGATTCTGATGTGGGCTGTGGTAGGAATGCAAGGCAAGAGTAGAGGACGCACAGTGCATTACGAGATGGGGCTGGGAAGGGATTAGGAGCGTACCACGGGAAGATAGTTCGGTTGATTCGGCCTTGCTTGTTGCTGCGTGATACTGTTGCTGGTGCCACACCTCCCCTGTTGTGCTAGGCTGTAGGACAAAATAGTAGCCAGGGGAGGAGGAGACAGGGGAGGTATGAGATAAGAGAAGCAGTGGGAGAGGAGGAAGAAGAGGAACCATTGTGTGACAGTTGCATGGGAGAGGCGGACAAGAGTGAGCGGAAGGGAGGAATCAAGCATGACAGGAAGGAGTGGCAAGGAAGACCAGGTCGAGGAGCAGTACAGGAAGGATCAACGGAGACTTACCACATCCCAAGTCTTCTCCACCATCTCTGCCACCCCTTGTCCGCCACCCTGTCTGCTCCCCCTCATCTGCTGCCCCTCGTTTGCTCCCCCTTGTCTGCTCCTCCCCTCTGCATCATCCTCGGCTTCCGAACATCTGAGACAGTGGTGGATCGACAACTTACAATAGGTGAAGGAGTGGCAAGAGAGAAGACGGCAAGTACAGGAGGCAGTGGGTCCAGTCAGGGAGCTCCAGTCAGGGAGCTCCAGTCAGGGAGCTCCAGTCAGGGAGCTCCAGTCAGGGAGCTCCAGTCAGTGAGCTCCAGTCAGTGAGCTTCAGTCAGTGAGCTTCAGTCAGTGGGCTCTAGTGAGTGGGCTCCAGTTGGTGAGAAGAAGGCAGGTAGATCAACAACTTACAATGGGGTGACGGAGTGGGAAGAGAGACAAAGGCAAGTACAGGAGGCTAGGGAAGAAGGCAAGAAAAGGAGGCTATGGAAACAGAGCAAAAATGAAAGGAGGAGGACGATAGAGTGAAGGGCAAGAGAGATCTTCCACGTTCGCTGAAGCAACCTCTTCTCCTCCTGCGCTTCCTCTTCTCCTTCTCTGCTTCCTCTGCATTGACGTCCTCTGCTCCTTTCCTCCTCTGATTTTGCGAGGACACTCCTAGAACTACAACCTGCAGACAAGGTGATACAGCCTACAGCCCACATCCTACAGGCCACAGCCCACAGCCTTTAGCCTACAGCCTGTACTATACCTAGACATACAGCCTACAAACTGAACTAGACATCTCTGCTCCCTTATCTCTGCCTACTCTTGTCTACTCCCTGTGCGTCATCCTTGCTGCCGGACACCTGAGACAGTGGAAGATTGACAAGATATAATGAGGCGCAGAAGTGGAAAGAGAGAAGAAGTCGAGTACAAGAGGCTGGGGGATCCGAGCGAAGATGAAAGGAGGAGACTGACGAAAGGAGGAGAATGACGAAAGGAGGAGACTGAGGGAAGGAGGAGACTGACGGAAGGAGGAGACTGAGGGAAGGAGGAGACTGAGGGAAGGAGGAGACTGAGGGAAGGAGGAGACTGAGGGAAGGAGGAGACTGAGGGAAGGAGGAGACTGAGGGAAGGAGGAGACTGAGGGAAGGAGGAGACTGAGGGAAGGAGGAGACTGAGGGAAGGAGGAGACTGAGGGAAGGAGGAGACTGAGGGAAGGAGGAGACTGAGGGAAGGAGGAGACTGAGGGAAGGAGGAGACTGAGGGAAGGAGGAGACTGAGGGAAGGAGGAGACTGAGGGAAGGAGGAGACTGAGGGAAGGAGGAGACTGAGGGAAGGAGGAGACTGAGGGAAGGAGGAGACTGAGGGAAGGAGGAGACTGAGGGAAGGAGGAGACTGAGGGAAGGAGGAGACTGAGGGAAGGAGGAGACTGAGGGAAGGAGGAGACTGAGGGAAGGAGGAGACTGAGGGAAGGAGGAGACTGAGGGAAGGAGGAGACTGAGGGAAGGAGGAGACTGAGGGAAGGAGGAGACTGAGGGAAGGAGGAGACTGAGGGAAGGAGGAGACTGAGGGAAGGAGGAGACTGAGGGAAGGAGGAGACTGAGGGAAGGAGGAGACTGAGGGAAGGAGGAGACTGAGGGAAGGAGGAGACTGAGGGAAGGAGGAGACTGAGGGAAGGAGGAGACTGAGGGAAGGAGGAGACTGAGGGAAGGAGGAGACTGAGGGAAGGAGGAGACTGAGGGAAGGAGGAGACTGAGGGAAGGAAGGAGGAGACTGAGGGAAGGAGGAGACTGAGGGAAGGAGGAGACTGAGGGAAGGAGGAGACTGAGGGAAGGAAGGAGGAGACTGAGGGAAGGAAGGAGGAGACTGAGGGAAGGAGGAGACTGAGGGAAGGAGGAGACTGAGGGAAGGAAGGAGGAGACTGAGGGAAGGAAGGAGGAGACTGAGGAAGGAGGAGACTGAGGGAAGGAGGAGACTGAGGGAAGGAAGGAGGAGACTGAGGGAAGGAGGTACTGAGGGAAGGAGGAGACTGAGGGAAGGAGGAGACTGAGGGAAGGAGGAGACTGAGGGAAGGAGGAGACTGAGGGAAGGAGGAGACTGAGGGAAGGAGGAGACTGAGGGAAGGAGGAGACTGAGGGAAGGAGGAGACTGAGGGAAGGAGGAGACTGAGGGAAGGAGGAGACTGAGGGAAGGAGGAGACTGAGGGAAGGAGGAGACTGAGGGAAGGAGGAGACTGAGGGAAGGAGGAGACTGAGGGAAGGAAGGAGGAGACTGAGGAAGGAGGAGACTGAGGGAAGGAGGAGACTGAGGGAAGGAGGAGACTGAGGGAAGGAAGGAGGAGACTGAGGGAAGGAGGAGACTGAGGGAAGGAGGAGACTGAGGGGGAAGGAGGAGACTGAGGGAAGGAGGAGACTGAGGGAAGGAGGAGACTGAGGGAAGGAGGAGACTGAGGGAAGGAGGAGACTGAGGGAAGGAGGAGACTGAGGGAAGGAGGAGACTGAGGGAAGGAGGAGACTGAGGGAAGGAGGAGACTGAGGGAAGGAGGAGACTGAGGGAAGGAGGAGACTGAGGGAAGGAGGAGACTGAGGGAAGGAGGAGACTGAGGGAAGGAGGAGACTGAGGGAAGGAGGAGACTGAGGGAAGGAGGAGACTGAGGGAAGGAGGAGACTGAGGGAAGGAGGAGACTGAGGGAAGGAGGAGACTGAGGGAAGGAGGAGACTGAGGGAAGGAGGAGACTGAGGGAAGGAGGAGACTGAGGGAAGGAGGAGACTGAGGGAAGGAGGAGACTGAGGGAAGGAGGAGACTGAGGGAAGGAGGAGACTGAGGGAAGGAGGAGACTGAGGGAAGGAGGAGACTGAGGGAAGGAGGAGACTGAGGGAAGGAGGAGACTGAGGGAAGGAGGAGACTGAGGGAAGGAGGAGACTGAGGGAAGGAGGAGACTGAGGGAAGGAGGAGACTGAGGGAAGGAGGAGAGTGAGGGAAGGAGGAGAGTGAGGGAAGGAGGAGACTGAGGGAAGGAGGAGACTGAGGGAAGGAGGAGACTGAGGGAAGGAGGAGACTGAGGGAAGGAGGAGACTGAGGGAAGGAGGAGACTGAGGGAAGGAGGAGACTGAGGGAAGGAGGAGACTGAGGGAAGGAGGAGACTGAGGGAAGGAGGAGACTGAGGGAAGGAGGAGACTGAGGGAAGGAGGAGACTGAGGGAAGGAGGAGACTGAGGGAAGGAGGAGACTGAGGAAGGAGGAGACTGAGGGAAGGAGGAGACTGAGGGAAGGAGGAGACTGAGGGAAGGAGGAGACTGAGGGAAGGAGGAGACTGAGGGAAGGAGGAGACTGAGGGAAGGAGGAGACTGAGGGAAGGAGGAGACTGAGGGAAGGAGGAGACTGAGGGAAGGAGGAGACTGAGGGAAGGAGGAGACTGAGGGAAGGAGGAGACTGAGGGAAGGAGGAGACTGAGGGAAGGAGGAGACTGAGGGAAGGAGGAGACTGAGGGAAGGAGGAGACTGAGGGAAGGAGGAGACTGAGGGAAGGAGGAGAGTGAGGGAAGGAGGAGAGTGAGGGAAGGAGGAGAGTGAGGGAAGGAGGAGAGTGAGGGAAGGAGGAGAGTGAGGGAAGGAGGAGAGTGAGGGAAGGAGGAGAGTGAGGGAAGGAGGAGAGTGAGGGAAGGAGGAGAGTGAGGGAAGGAGGAGAGTGAGGGAAGGAGGAGAGTGAGGAAGGAGGAGAGTGAGGAAGGAGGAGAGTGAGGGAAGGAGGAGAGTGAGGGAAGGAGGAGAGTGAGGGAAGGAGGAGAGTGAGGAAGGAGGAGAGTGAGGGAAGGAGGAGAGTGCCGGAAGGAGGAGAGTGCCGGAAGGAGGAGAGTGAGGGAAGGAGGAGAGTGAGGGAAGGAGGAGAGTGACGGAAGGAGGAGAGTGACGGAAGGAGGAGAGTGACGGAAGGAGGAGAGTGACGGAAGGAGGAGAGTGACGGAAGGAGGAGAGTGCCGGAAGGAGGAGAGTGCCGGAAGGAGGAGAGTGCCGGAAGGAGGAGAGTGCCGGAAGGAGGAGAGTGCCGAAGGAGGAGAGTGCCGGAAGGAGGAGAGTGACGGAAGGAGGAGAGTGACGGAAGGAGGAGAGTGCCGGAAGGAGGAGAGTGCCGGAAGGAGGAGAGTGACGGAAGGAGGAGAGTGACGGAAGGAGGAGAGTGCCGGAAGGAGGAGAGTGCCGGAAGGAGGAGAGTGACGGAAGGAGGAGAGTGACGGAAGGAGGAGAGTGACGGAAGGAGGAGAGTGCCGGAAGGAGGAGAGTGACGGAAGGAGGAGAGTGACGGAAGGAGAGAGTGACGGAAGGAGGAGAGTGACGGAAGGAGGAGAGTGACGGAAGGAGGAGAGTGACGGAAGGAGGAGAGTGCCGGAAGGAGGAGAGTGCCGGAAGGAGGAGAGTGACGGAAGGAGGAGAGTGACGGAAGGAGGAGAGTGACGGAAGGAGGAGAGTGCCGGAAGGAGGAGAGTGCCGGAAGGAGGAGAGTGCCGGAAGGAGGAGTGTGACGGAAGGAGGAGAGTGCCGGAAGGAGGAGAGTGACAGAAGGAGGAGAGTGACGGAAGGAGGAGAGTGACGGAAGGAGGAGAGTGACGGGAGGAGGAGAGTGACGGAAGGAGGAGAGTGACGGAAGGAGGAGAGTGACGGAAGGAGAGAGTGACGGAAGGAGGAGAGTGACGGAAGGAGGAGAGTGACGGAAGGAGGAGAGTGACGGAAGGAGGAGAGTGACGGAAGGAGGAGAGTGACGGAAGGAGGAGAGTGACGAGAGGAGGAGAGTGACGAGAGGAGGAGAGTGACGGAAGGAGGAGAGTGACGAGAGGAGGAGAGTGACGAGAGGAGGAGAGTGACGAGAGGAGGAGAGTGACGGCAGGAGGAGAGTGACGAGAGGAGGAGAGTGACGAGAGGAGGAGAGTGACGGCAGGAGGAGAGTGACGAGAGGAGGAGAGTGACGAGAGGAGGAGAGTGACGAGAGGAGGAGAGTAACGGGAGGAGGAGAATGACGAGAGGAGGAGAGTGACGAGAGGAGAGAGTGACGGAAAGGAGGAGAGTGACGAGAGGAGGAGAGTGACGAGAGAGGAGAGTGACGAGAGGAGGAGGTGACGGAAAGGAGGAGAGTGACGAGAGGAGGAGAGTGACGAGAGGAGGAGAGTGACGAGAGGAGAGAGTGACGAGAGGAGGAGAGTGACGAGAGGAGGAGGAATGACGAGGGAGGAGAGTGACGAGAGGAGGAGAGTGACGAGAGGAGGAGAGTGACGAGAGGAGGAGAGTGACGAGAGGAGGAGAGTGACGAGAGGAGGAGAGTGACGAGAGAGAGAAAATGAGACGGAGAGGAGGAGAGTGACGAGAGGAGGAGAGTGACGAGAGGAGGAGAGTGACGGAGGAGGAGAATGACGAGAGGAGGAGAGTGACGAGAGAGGAGAGTGACGAGAGGAGGAGAGTGACGAGAGAGGAGAGTGACGAGAGGAGGAGAGTGACGAGAGGAGGAGAGTGACGAGAGAGGAGAGTGACGAGAGAGGAGGAGAGTGACGAGAGGAGGAGAGTGACGAGAGGAGGAGAGTGACGAGAGGAGAGTGACGAGAGGAGGAGAGTGACGAGGGAGGAGAGTGACGAGAGGAGGAGAATGACAGAGGAGGAGAATGACGAGAGGAGGAGAGTGACGAGAGGAGGAGAATGACGAAGGGAGGAGAGTGACGAGAGGAGGAGACTGACGAGAGGAGGAGAATGACGAAGGGGGAGAATGACGAGAGGAGAGAGTGACGAGAGGAGGAGAATGACGAAGGGAGGAGAGTGACGAGAGGAGGAGACTGACGAGAGGAGGAGAATGACGAAGGGGGAAATGACGAGAGGAGGAGACTGACGGAAGGAGGAGAATGACGAAGGGAGGAGACTGACGAGAGGAGGAGACTGACAAGAGGAGGAGAATGACGAAGGGGGGAGAATGACGAGAGGAGGAGACTGACGAGAGGAGGAGAATGACGAAGGGAGGAGACTGACGAGAGGAGGAGACTAACGGGAGGAGGAGACTGACGGGAGGAGGAGAATGACGAGAGGAGGAGACTGACGGGAGAGGAGACTGACGAGAGGAGGAGACTGACGGGAGGAGGAGACTGACGGAGGAGGAGACTGACGGGAGGAGGAGTCTGACGAGAGGAGGAGACTGACGGGAGGAGGAGACTGACGAGAGGAGGGAGCTGACGGGAGGAGGAGACTGACGGGAGGAGGAGACTGACGGGAGGAGGAGACTGACGAGAGGAGGAGACTGACGGGAGGAGGAGACTGACGGGAGGAGGAGACTGACGGGAGGAGGAGACTGACGGGAGGAGGAGACTGACGAAGGAGGAGACTGAGGAGAGGAGGAGACTGAGGAGAGGAGGAGACTGAGGAGAGGAGGAGACTGACGAGAGGAGGAGACAAAGGAGAGGAGGAGACTGAGGAGAGGAGGAGACTGAGGAGAGGAGGAGACTGACGAGAGGAGGAGACTGACGAGAGGAGGAGACTTAGGAGAGGAGGAGACTGAGGAGAGGAGGAGACTGACGAGAGGAGACTGACGAGAGGAGGAGACTGAGGAGAGGAGGAGACTGACGAGAGGAGGAGACTGAGGAGAGGAGGAGACTGAGGAGAGGAGGAGACTGACGAGAGGAGGAGACTGACGAGAGGAGGAGACTGAGGAGAGGAGGAGACTGAGGAGAGGAGGAGACTGACGAGAGGAGGAGACTGAGGAGAGGAGGAGAGTGAGGAGAGGAGGAGACTGAGGAGAGGAGGAGACTGAGGAGAGGAGGAGACTGAGGAGAGGAGGAGAGTGAGGAGAGGAGGAGACTGACGAGAGGAGGAGACTGAGGAGAGGAGGAGACTGAGGAGAGGAGGAGACTGACGAGAGGAGGAGACTGAGGAGAGGAGGAGACTGAGGAGAGGAGGAGACTGAGGAGAGGAGGAGACTGAGGAGAGGAGGAGACTGACGAGAGGAGGAGACTGACGAGAGGAGGAGACTGACGAGAGGAGGAGACTGACGAGAGGAGGAGACTGAGGAGAGGAGGAGACTGAGGAGAGGAGGAGACTGAGGAGAGGAGGAGACTGAGGAGAGGAGGAGACTGACGAGAGGAGGAGACTGACGAGAGGAGGAGACTGACGAGAGGAGGAGACTGACGAGAGGAGGAGACTGAGGAGAGGAGGAGACTGAGGAGAGGAGGAGACTGAGGAGAGGAGGAGACTGACGAGAGGAGGAGACTGACGAGAGGAGGAGACTGACGAGAGGAGGAGACTGACGAGAGGAGGAGACTGACGAGAGGAGGAGACTGAGGAGAGGAGGAGACTGAGGAGAGGAGGAGACTGAGGAGAGGAGGAGACTGAGGAGAGGAGGAGACTGAGGAAAGGAGGAGACTGAGGAAAGGAGGAGACTGACGAAAGGAGGAGACTGACGAGAGGAGGAGACTGAGGAAGGAGGAGACTGAGGAGAGGAGGAGACTGACGAGAGGAGGAGACTGACGAGAGGAGGAGACTGACGAGAGGAGGAGACTGAGGAAAGGAGGAGACTGAGGAAAGGAGGAGACTGACGAAAGGAGGAGACTGACGAAAGGAGGAGACTGACGAAAGGAGGAGACTGACGAAAGGAGGAGACTGACGAAAGGAGGAGACTGACGAAAGGAGGAGACTGATGGAATGAAGGGCAAGGGAGATCTCACCACGTCTGCTGTAGAAACCTTCTGTCCTCCTTCTCTGCATCCTCTCCTCCTCCTCTGCTTCCTCTCCTCCTCCTCTGCATCCTCTCCTCCTCCTCTGCTTCCTCTCCTCCTCCTCTGCTTCTTCTTATCCTCCTCCTCTTCTCTTCTCCTTCTTTTCTTTCTTCTCTTCTCCTCCTCCAGGTGGATCGTCTTCTCTCCTCTGCTCCGCTGATCTCGATCTTCAAGCTAAAACACTCCTACAGATACAACCTACAAGGAGCTGCAGCAGCCTACAGTCTACACTCCACAAAAGAGCTGCAGCCTACAACGCACAGCCTGTGCCATACATAGAAATACAACCTACAACCAACAGCCTACAGCATGCACTACATATCACAGCATGCACTATATATCACAGCAAGAGTTAGAGCAGATCAAGTTTATCTTGACAATTCAAATCTTTCTATTCTGCAAGTTTCATTCATTGCTTGCCGGATCGTTATCCCATTCTGCCCTGCAGTCAAAGTAAGGTTAGGGTACCTGTAGTTAGGCGCTGCCCTGTAGTCAGAGTGGGGTTAGCGTACCTGTAGTTAGGCGCTGCCCTGTAGTCAGAGTGGGGTTAGCGTACCTGTAGTTAGGCGCTGCCCTGTAGTCAGAGTGGGGTTAGCGTACCTGTAGTTAGGCGCTGCCCTGTAGTCAGAGTGGGGTTAGCGTACCTGTAGTTAGGCGCTGCCCTGTAGTCAGAGTGGGGTTAGCGTACCTGTAGTTAGGCGCTGCCCTGTAGTCAGAGTGGGGTTAGCGTACCTGTAGTTAGGCGCTGCCCTGTAGTCCAGAGTTGGTTAGCGTACCTGTAGTTAGGCGCTGCCCTGTAGTCAGAGTGGGGTTAGCGTACCTGTAGTTAGGCGCTGCCCTGTAGTCAGAGTGGGGTTAGCGTACCTGTAGTTAGGCGCTGCCCTGTAGACAGAGTGGGTTAGCGTACCTGTAGTTAGGCGCTGCCCTGTAGTCAGAGTGGGGTTAGCGTACCTGTAGTTAGGCGCTGCCCTGTAGTCAGAGTGGGGTTAGCGTACCTGTAGTTAGGCGCTGCCCTGTAGTCAGAGTGGGGTTAGCGTACCTGTAGTTAGGCGCTGCCCTGTAGTCAGAGTGGGGTTAGCGTACCTGTAGTTAGGCGCTGCCCTGTAGTCAGAGTGGGGTTAGCGTACCTGTAGTTAGGCGCTGCCCTGTAGTCAGAGTGGGGTTAGCGTACCTGTAGTTAGGCGCTGCCCTGTAGTCAGAGTGGGGTTTAGCGTACCTGAAGTTAGGGCTGGGGCTGCCCTGTAGTCAGAGTGGGTTAGCGTACCTGAAGTTAGGGGCTGCCTGTAGTCAGAGTGGGGTTAGCGTACCTGTAGTTAGGCGCTGCCCTGTAGTCAGAGTGGGGTTAGCGTACCTGTAGTTAGGCGCTGCCCTGTAGTCAGAGTGGGGTTAGCGTACCTGTAGTTAGGCGCTGCCCTGTAGTCAGAGTGGGGTTAGCGTACCTGTAGTTAGGCGCTGCCCTGTAGTCACAGTTGGGTTCTCACCAGATGAAGCTTCTCACCAGAGCAGCGAATCCCGCCAAGTCATCACACTCACCAGTGGGACTGCGCTGCGCCATCAGCAGCACCCTCAGGCACCGCAACATCGCACCTCAATTGAGTTCCTGCTGCTGAACAGAAATGGGTAGAGAGAGGGGGATGGGTAGAGAGAGGGGGATGGGTAGAGGAAGGGGGAATGGGTGGAGGGTTGAGGGAGCAGGTTAGGGAGGTGAAAGAGGCAGGGAGAGGACATGAGAGAGCAAATGAAGGACACAACGGGAAAACAGGAGCATTGAAGCAATAACGATGAATGCATGAATGTGAAGAGAGTGCTGATGCTGGATGTCAAACCAGAGGCTGGATGTCAAACCAGAGGCTGGATGTCAAACCAGAGGCTGGATGTCAAACCAGAGGCTGGATGTCAAACCAGAGGCTGGATGTCAAACCAGAGGCTGGATGTCAAACCAGAGGCTGGATGTCAAACCAGAGGCTGGATGTCAAACCAGAGGCTGGATGGGCCACGGCTGTGTCGAGTTTCGCTCATCAAGCGTTGGCTCTCGGAGCGTTGGCTCTCGGAGCGTTGGCTCTCGGAGCGTTGGCTCTCGGAGCGTTGGCTCTCGGAGCGTTGGCTCTCGGAGCGTTGGCTCTCGAGCGTTGGCTCTGGAGCGTTGGCTCTCGGAGCGTTGGCTCTCGGAGCGTTTGCTCTCGGAGCGTTGGCTCTCGGAGCGTTGGCTCTCGGAGCGTTGGCTCTCGGAGCGTTGGCTCTCGGAGCGTTGGCTCTCGGAGCGTTGGCTCTCGGAGCGTTGGCTCTCGGAGCGTTGCTCTCTGAGCGTTGGCTCTCGGAGCGTGGCTCTCGGAGCGTTGGCTCTCGGAGCGTTGGCTCTCGGAGCGTTGCTCTCGGAGCGTTGGCTCTCGGAGCGTGGCTCTCGGAGCGTTGGCTCTCGGAGCGTGGCTCTCCAGGTTTGATGGGTGCTCCTGAGTGTTGCTCCTGAGTGTTGCTCCTGAGGGTGCTCCCGAGTGTTGCTCCGAGTGTTGCTCCGAGTGTTGCTCCGAGTGTTGCTCCCTGAGTGTTGCTACCGAGTGTTGCTCCCGAGTGTTGCTCCGAGTGTTGCTCCGAGTGTTGCTCCGAGTGTTGCTCCCGAGTGTTGCTCCGAGTGTTGCTCCGAGTGTTGCTCCGAGTGTTGCTCCGAGTGTTGCTCCCGAGTGTTGCTCCCGAGTGTGTTGCTCCTGAGTGTTGCTCCTGAGTGTTGCTCCTGAGTGTTGCTCCTGAGTGTTGCTCCTGAGTGTTGCTCCTGAGTGTTGCTCCTGAGTGTTGCTCCTGAGTGTTGCTCCTGAGTGTTGCTCCTGAGTGTTGCTCCTGAGTGTTGCTCCTGAGTGTTGCTCCTGAGTGTTGCTCCTGAGTGTTGCTCCTGAGTGTTGCTCCGAGTGTTGCTCCTGAGTGTTGCCCGAGTGTTGCTCCTGAGTGTTGCTCCTGAGTGTTGCTCCTGAGTGTTGCTCCGAGTGTTGCTCCGAGTGTTGCTTGAGTGTGTTTCCTGAGTGTTGCTCCTGAGTGTTGCTCCTGAGTGTTGCTCCTGAGTGTTGCTCCTGAGTGTTGCTCCTGAGTGTTGCTCCTGAGTGTTGCTCCTGAGTGTTGCTCCTGAGTGTTGCTCCTGAGTGTTGCTCCTGAGTGTTGCTCCTGAGTGTTGCTCCTGAGTGTTGCTCCTGAGTGTTGCTCCTGAGTGTTGCTCCTGAGTGTTGCTCCTGAGTGTTGCTCCTGAGTGTTGCTCCTGAGTGTTGCTCCTGAGTGTTGCTCCTGAGTGTTGCTCCTGAGTGTTTCTCCTGAGTGTTGCTCCTGAGTGTTGCTCCTGAGTGTTGCTCCTGAGTGTTGCTCCTGAGTGTTGCTCCTGAGTGTTTCTCCTGAGTGTTGCTCCTGAGTGTTGCTCCTGAGTGTTGCTCCTGAGTGTTGCTCCTGAGTGTTGCTCCTGAGTGTTGCTCCTGAGTGTTGCTCCTGAGTGTTGCTCCTGAGTGTTGCTCCTGAGTGTTGCTCCTGAGTGTTGCTCCTGAGTGTTGCTCCTGAGTGTTGCTCCTGAGTGTTGCTCCTGAGTGTTGCTCCTGAGTGTTGCTCCTGAGTGTTGCTCCTGAGTGTTGCTCCTGAGTGTTGCTCCTGAGTGTTGCTCCTGAGTGTTGCTCCTGAGTGTTGCTCCTGAGTGTTGCTCCTGAGTGTTGCTCCTGAGTGTTGCTCCTGAGTGTTGCTCCTGAGTGTTGCTCCTGAGTGTTGCTCCTGAGTGTTGCTCCTGAGTGTTGCTCCTGAGTGTTGCTCCTGAGTGTTGCTCCTGAGTGTTGCTCCTGAGTGTTGCTCCTGAGTGTTGCTCCTGAGTGTTGCTCCTGAGTGTTGCTCCTGAGTGTTGCTCCTGAGTGTTGCTCCCTGTGTTGCTCCTGAGTGTTGCTCCTGAGTGTTGCTCCTGAGTGTTGCTCCTGAGTGTTGCTCCTGAGTGTTGCTCCTGAGTGTTGCTCCTGAGTGTTGCTCCTGAGTGTTGCTCCTGAGTGTTGCTCCTGAGTGTTGCTCCTGAGTGTTGCTCTTGGTGTTGCTCCTGAGTGTTGCTCCTGAGTGTTGCTCCTGAGTGTTGCTCCTGAGTGTTGCTCCTGAGTGTTGCTCCTGAGTGTTGCTCCTGAGTGTTGCTCCTGAGTGTTTCTCCTGAGTGTTGCTCCTGAGTGTTGCTCCTGAGTGTTGCTCCTGAGTGTTGCTCCTGAGTGTTGCTCCTGAGTGTTGCTCCTGAGTGTTGCTCCTGAGTGTTGCTCCTGAGTGTTGCTCCTGAGTGTTGCTCCTGAGTGTTGCTCCTGAGTGTTGCTCCTGAGTGTTGCTCCTGAGTGTTGCTCCTGAGTGTTGCTCCTGAGTGTTGCTCCTGAGTGTTGCTCCTGAGTGTTGCTCCTGAGTGTTGCTCCTGAGTGTTGCTCCTGAGTGTTGCTCCTGAGTGTTGCTCCTGAGTGTTGCTCCTGAGTGTTTCTCCTGAGTGTTGCTCCTGAGTGTTGCTCCTGAGTGTTTCTCCTGAGTGTTGCTCCTGAGTGTTTCTCCTGAGTGTTGTTCTCTGAGTGTTGCTCCTGAGTGTTGCTCCTGAGTGTTGCTCCTGAGTGTTGCTCCTGAGTGTTGCTCCTGAGTGTTGCTCCTGAGTGTTGCTCCTGAGTGTTGCTCCTGAGTGTTGCTCCTGAGTGTTTCTCCTGAGTGTTGCTCCTGAGTGTTGCTCCTGAGTGTTGCTCCTGAGTGTTGCTCCTGAGTGTTTCTCCTGAGTGTTGCTCCTGAGTGTTGCTCCTGAGTGTTTCTCCTGAGTGTTGCTCCTGAGTGTTGCTCCTGAGTGTTGCTCCTGAGTGTTGCTCCTGAGTGTTGCTCCTGAGTGTTGCTCCTGAGTGTTGCTCCTGAGTGTTGCTCCTGAGTGTTGCTCCTGAGTGTTGCTCCTGAGTGTTGCTCCTGAGTGTTGCTCCTGAGTGTTGCTCCTGAGTGTTGCTCCTGAGTGTTGCTCCTGAGTGTTTCTCCTGAGTGTTGCTCCTGAGTGTTGCTCCTGAGTGTTGCTCCTGAGTGTTGCTCCTGAGTGTTTCTCCTGAGTGTTTCTCCTGAGTGTTGCTCCTGAGTGTTGCTCCTGAGTGTTGCTCCTGAGTGTTGCTCCTGAGTGTTGCTCCTGAGTGTTGCTCCTGAGTGTTGCTCCTGAGTGTTGCTCCTGAGTGTTGCTCCTGAGTGTTGCTCCTGAGTGTTGCTCCTGAGTGTTGCTCCTGAGTGTTGCTCCTGAGTGTTGCTCCTGAGTGTTGCTCCTGAGTGTTGCTCCTGAGTGTTGCTCCTGAGTGTTTCTCCTGAGTGTTGCTCCTGAGTGTTGCTCCTGAGTGTTGCTCCTGAGTGTTGCTCCTGAGTGTTGCTCCTGAGTGTTGCTCCTGAGTGTTGCTCCTGAGTGTTTCTCCTGAGTGTTGCTCCTGAGTGTTGCTCCTGAGTGTTTCTCCTGAGTGTTGCTCCTGAGTGTTTCTCCTGAGTGTTGCTCCTGAGTGTTGCTCCTGAGTGTTGCTCCTGAGTGTTGCTCCTGAGTGTTGCTCCTGAGTGTTGCTCCTGAGTGTTGCTCCTGAGTGTTGCTCCTGAGTGTTGCTCCTGAGTGTTTCTCCTGAGTGTTGCTCCTGAGTGTTGCTCCTGAGTGTTGCTCCTGAGTGTTGCTCCTGAGTGTTGCTCCTGAGTGTTGCTCCTGAGTGTTGCTCCTGAGTGTTGCTCCTGAGTGTTGCTCCTGAGTGTTGCTCCTGAGTGTTGCTCCTGAGTGTTGCTCCTGAGTGTTGCTCCTGAGTGTTGCTCCTGAGTGTTGCTCCTGAGTGTTGCTCCTGAGTGTTGCTCCTGAGTGTTGCTCCTGAGTGTTGCTCCTGAGTGTTGCTCCTGAGTGTTGCTCCTGAGTGTTGCTCCTGAGTGTTGCTCCTGAGTGTTGCTCCTGAGTGTTGCTCCTGAGTGTTGCTCCTGAGTGTTGCTCCTGAGTGTTGCTCCTGAGTGTTGCTCCTGAGTGTTTCTCCTGAGTGTTGCTCCTGAGTGTTGCTCCTGAGTGTTGCTCCTGAGTGTTTCTCCTGAGTGTTGCTCCTGAGTGTTGCTCCTGAGTGTTGCTCCTGAGTGTTGCTCCTGAGTGTTGCTCCTGAGTGTTGCTCCTGAGTGTTGCTCCTGAGTGTTGCTCCTGAGTGTTGCTCCTGAGTGTTGCTCCTGAGTGTTGCTCCTGAGTGTTTCTCCTGAGTGTTGCTCCTGAGTGTTGCTCCTGAGTGTTGCTCCTGAGTGTTGCTCCTGAGTGTTGCTCCTGAGTGTTTCTCCTGAGTGTTGCTCCTGAGTGTTGCTCCTGAGTGTTGCTCCTGAGTGTTGCTCCTGAGTGTTTCTCCTGAGTGTTGCTCCTGAGTGTTGCTCCTGAGTGTTGCTCCTGAGTGTTGCTCCTGAGTGTTGCTCCTGAGTGTTGCTCCTGAGTGTTGCTCCTGAGTGTTGCTCCTGAGTGTTGCTCCTGAGTGTTGCTCCTGAGTGTTGCTCCTGAGTGTTTCTCCTGAGTGTTGCTCCTGAGTGTTGCTCCTGAGTGTTGCTCCTGAGTGTTGCTCCTGAGTGTTTCTCCTGAGTGTTGCTCCTGAGTGTTGCTCCTGAGTGTTGCTCCTGAGTGTTGCTCCTGAGTGTTGCTCCTGAGTGTTGCTCCTGAGTGTTGCTCCTGAGTGTTGCTCCTGAGTGTTGCTCCTGAGTGTTGCTCCTGAGTGTTGCTCCTGAGTGTTGCTCCTGAGTGTTGCTCCTGAGTGTTGCTCCTGAGTGTTGCTCCTGAGTGTTGCTCCTGAGTGTTGCTCCTGAGTGTTGCTCCTGAGTGTTGCTCCTGAGTGTTGCTCCTGAGTGTTGCTCCTGAGTGTTGCTCCTGAGTGTTGCTCCTGAGTGTTGCTCCTGAGTGTTGCTCCTGAGTGTTGCTCCTGAGTGTTGCTCCTGAGTGTTGCTCCTGAGTGTTGCTCCTGAGTGTTTCTCCTGAGTGTTTCTCCTGAGTGTTGCTCCTGAGTGTTGCTCCTGAGTGTTGCTCCTGAGTGTTGCTCCTGAGTGTT